TCTGGCAGTTAATTAAAAAGTACTTAGAAAAGGAAGCTCTACATGCCATGTGCCCAAGCGCCTGGTGATGCTGGCCATGAGATTGCAAAGTGGTGTTTACACTTCCTTTTGTAAACTTCATGTCAGCAGATCCAACGTGACATGGAGTATAGTACTACTCCAGAACCTGCCGCTTTTGAAATGGAAGCATTGAGACCCCGTATTGTGTGTGAAATTCCACAATATGCATTACATCAGGGCAACCAACACAATGCCACCCAGATGTTGTTAGGCTCCCAGCCCCTTTGTTCCTGACAATTGGCCATTTTGGCTGGGGCTGATCTGAGTTGGTGTTTAACATCTGGAGGGCAGCACACTGGCTACCCCTGCATTACATATATTTAACTACAAATAACCCAGTCTGGACCGAAGTGGCTTCGCTTTCACTTCTCAAAAGAAACCCAGGAGGCAATCTGTTGCCCTGGGAGCATAGGGCAATATCCTCGTGCTTTTTTGGCTCTGAGTTGCCAGGACTCTTTGTCCTGAACATGCAGTGGGTTATTTTGGTAGCTTTCTTCTTGGGAGTGGGATCCCACTCCTCTGCCAGCCCATGAGTGCTTGTGGAGTAGCAAAGTATATTTAGTCCATGATGACTGGACTGTGGTTTGTGTAACATGATGCTTCAATGCCTCCTTGACTGGAATCTCTGTGGTTTATGTTAAAAGAAAGAGAAATGTGTCTGCAGCATGTGGCTGAACATAAATCTGCTGGAAGCTACACATGAGCTAGTTTTGTCGACTACAAGGCCTTTCTATTAAAACAAAGAGGCCTTCTCCGCAACTGCTGAAAGATGGGCTTTCAAGGAGGATTCTTCAGCTTTCCTGCAAGACGCAGGTGCTTATTCCTGGCTCTTGGCAGGCAGCTGGAATCAAATAGTGCTGAAGGCACCAAAGGTGGCTCACAGTCAGCCCTTCATCTCAATCAGAGCTTCATTTTCCACACACACGTGTCAGGAGAACAAAAAACAACAACCTTGCAATGTTAGTGCTGTTCCTATACAGAGATGCTAGCTCTGCATATATGCAGTTCTCAACTCTGGATAAAGGCTGATAGGTAACTGTGTTTTCCTGCAAGATCTACAGCCCAGTACAAATATAATTTCTCAATAATGATTAAGAGATTAGAATGGGGCCATGGGATCACCCCACTTTCCTTTTTAATTAGAATTTGAAGTCAAGACTTGGAGCTTATTCGCCAACTTTGGGTAAAATGGGATCTAATAATTAAGGTTGTTAGAAATTAAGACATTAAGGTTGTGAAGTAATTGAGAAATTTAAGCTAAAGAGGGCTGGGGGAGAAAGCATGAATTCCATAGCATGCTCCCAATATCATGGCCATTGTTAAGAGACTGACAGGAGAGAGGCCTATGTGTGAACACCACCCTTATATCTTAGACTTCTTCCTGCTTTGTGCTGAATACTGTTGATCATGTTGTTCACACTAAGCATGAAATGCTTCTTCCTGTTCTGGCTGTTATATCCACTCAATAGCAAAATGTGCTTCCGATTTTGGGGTTCATCCATTTGCTACCCAAGAGTGCCACTCCCAGAATTGCACTTGGATACTGACTTAACCCTTGCAAAAGGGTGAAAACAAACAATATTTAACACTAGTACTAATCAGTTGAGCTGCCCTCACCACATTCACTTATTTGTAGGTTATTTACTGCTATATGTTTAAAGAAGGACAATGGAAACTTTTCAGCCTGTCAGAATAGAGCTTTAGCTCTCTGACCCCAGCAGGCCAAACTGGATAGGTGAGGTGCTGTCTTTTGGAAAGAAAAATGCTTCTTTTAAAAATGGATAATTTTTTAATTCACAAAGGAGCTTGCAGAGCCCTTTACCTGGTGCTTCCCAAGAGCCTGCTGTCATCTTTGCTACCTGTATCTGTAAAAATGGTTTTGTAAGAAGAATCTCATGTTTGCTTTCTGTATGTGCTGCATTGGAAGTTGCCACCGATTAGTCCTTCCGTGGCAGTAAACAAAAGTGTGTCTTTGAAACAACACCAGAACAGTTGGCAGTGCTCCTTGACCTCCTGAGTTTATAGAGCTTTCTCAAGTGCCCTCTATCTCCACAGTAATGTGACAAGAAAATAGGAAGAAAAAGGTATACTAGCGGGGGCTGGCACTCAGACTTTAATGCAAGACTTTCTTGACATAATATGCCTCTCCTCAAGATAGCAGGTAAATTGGATTACTAGAAGTATTCCTGGTCATTACTGCAAGAATTGCTTTACCTTCCTTTCCCCACCCCACCCCTCCTTGACTTGGTTTATTTATTTATTTGTTGTTAGTGCGGCTTTCTCAGATCTATGTTTAGTTATTAGCTATTTCTAACCTGTGTATTAGTTGATCTGAGGATGGGGTGTATTTCATTGAAAAGATCTCAGTATAAATAGTCGAACAAAACCATAACTTACAAGTGAAAAACGTAAGAACACTGAGCAGATCAAAGTACTTAACTGCAATCAAGAAAGCCCTAATTCCTGAGTAAACAACCAGGCATTGGTGCTGAGACGAGGCCAGTGTTGGTGCTCATTAGACCTCAGAGAGGAGGGTATTCCATAAATGGGGCAGCACAGCAGAGAAGGCCCTTTCCCATGTCACCATATAATGTATGCACTGCCTGGGAATTTTTAGAAACAAAAAAAAATATGTGATTTTTAAATGGATAGTGTGATTGGTGAATTTGGACCCATCATGCCAATGACATATTGGTCCACCATCTTTATTCAGATTGGTACCTGGCATCATTGCAGCCCACCACCCCCACCTTGGGAAACATTGTACTGAATTTGGTGACGATCTCTTGAGAGAAGACCAAACATAATGCCAAGAAATGGGCAAAGTCATGCCAAAGTCATATTTTGATCCACCATCTTGATTCAAAATGGTGCCCAATGCTCACAGAGTCTGCCATCCTTACTTTGAGAACCCTCTGGCCTAGTTTGGTGATGATTTTCACTCCCTCCCATTGCAAGAATCTCCTGATCTCATGTTTTCAGAAAGGAGGGGGCAGAAACTGCTCTTCGCTTCTTCCACTCCTGCCTGACTCTGTGGGGGTCTGTGTGTTATCTATGTAGAGATTAGATGGCTGAGTGAGAGCTGTAACACTCATGCAAGCCAGTAGCTCTTTAGTTTAGTTTGCAGTAGCTATTAGAAAATAAAGAAGTTAGGCTTCACAGCTTTCTTCCGTGTTTGGTGCTCTTCTGAGTACTCTTCTGAGTTTGGTGCTCACAATGGACAGTTGTGGGTCCAGTGCACTTAGACCTGCTTTCCAGGAGTGGAAGGTCTCTGGAAGTGCTCCAGTCACCTAGCCCAGTCGTTGACATCGGCTCAAAGGCGTACTGACAGATATCTCAAGAGGCAGGCAAACCTATGCCAGAAAGGGCCCAGTTACATACCATAGTCACAGTTTGGCCCTCAATTCAAAATGGTGCCTGGCACCTAAACATTGAATAGACCCCCCCCCCTCAGGACCCCTCGTGCTGCATTTGGCGATGATATCTTGAGAAGCAACCGAACGTATAGAGAACAAACTGACAATACACTTCCCAAAATTACAGTAGAATTCTCAGTGGGTGAAATTTGCAGTTATTGGGGTAAGTTTCTAAATAAGATATTGGAAATTTCTGGAACCATTAGTGACACCTTGAAATCAGACTGGGAAGTATGTTGGCAACCAGCACAGTTCTTTTAGAACTGGAATTATATGGGCCCTCTATGCTTCCACTTAAGAGGCTAGCCACACATTCTGCAGTAGCTGCTGCTTCCACGTCACCTTCAGATTTGTCACAGAATGTAGCACAGTGGATTGTACAGCCATTTCCAACCTTATCCCTGGAAATCCAGCCGCCTTATTGACTTTCAGGAGTGTACTACATGTCTCATTTCTTGTGGGCTCTGGATCAAAATCAGAAGAATCAGTTAAGCCATGAATTACAACTATGGACAATAGCGGGGGCAGGGACAGCTCGAATGAATAATGTAGAACCCCTGTAATTCAGCAGAAGAGTCTTGAGGCTTGTAGATGAGCTCCTGTCTGTTCTATCTGCCAACAGTTGGGCATACTTACCTAAGACGGGGTCATTTGAGGACATTTGGTGCTGCCTGGGTGCTCTTATCTCTCAGGCACAGCATATGTGCCTAGTCTGCTGTCCTCCACGGTTACAGCATCCTTTGCTAAAGGGAAGAAAATGCACTCAAGATATAGCAGAAAGTGTGTGCTGCCAACAAGTCTATAGGTTAAGAGGAAAAGGAAGACCACTTGGAAATGTACATGGGAACAAGTTAGCAGTCCCACAAAAAGTCACAATAATCCGTTGTGTAGGAAAGCAAAATTAATAGTAATTGGCTCTTAAGAATGAATGGAGGAATGGGTGAGAGTGTATGTATACACACACATAGCATGCACATATGTGTGTGTGTGTGTGTGTGTGTGTGTGTGTTTATTATCCAAACTGTGCAGAGAAACAAACTGAACAAGATGGAATGAATTTTGATGTTATTAGTACATTAATGTTGAAAATAAAAACCTGATAGTCTAGTTGTATCAGCACTGAGTCAGCTCTGTGTGCAGTACAGCACGTAATTTCAAACACTGGTTACATCCATCAGAACTGAGACACTCAAATCAGTCTGCTCATCAGAATTGGATTTCTGCTACAGAGTGCTGAATAGCTTGATGGTGTAAGGGTTACCAGTCACCATTTTTTCTGACTTCTCCTCCAGAGCTTATTTGTGTCCGATATATGAGAGCTCTGAAGTTACCACCTTGTATTTTAGCAACTCTTCTTTTCATTAATGCTCTCAAATGTTAACTACATGTCTCTTTACTCCTGCTTTGTATGAGGATATATCTCTGTCTTTTCCCTGTTTATGTATCCTATAATATGGTACTTTTTGTTCCTATTGTCAGGCTCAGCCATCGTTTAAACTTGCCGTTTGATGTTGTCTTCTCTAGGTTGGGATAAACATTCCTATGGCTACCATGGTGATGATGGACACTCCTTCTGCTCTTCAGGGACAGGACAGCCTTATGGCCCCACATTCACTACTGGAGATGTGATTGGCTGCTGTGTAAACCTCATCAACAATACCTGCTTCTACACAAAGAATGGGCACAGTTTAGGTAGGCAAACAAACTTCTGGACCAGCTTTATTTTGTTTTGGGCTTACAAACTGAGCCACTATCTGCTCTTCTTTAATGTGCAATCAGCAGGATGATTTCTTGGGTGAAACAAAACCAACATGATCTCATTTATTTGTGTCAAAACTGGTAGATTACAACTAGTGCTGTGAACAATTCATGTATCTACATCCAGTTTTTTCCTTTACTGCTATCTCTTTGTCCCAGCTGGAAAGGAAGGACTGATAAAGACTTACTCCCATTTCTCATGGTTCAGATTGGGAGCAAAAGTTCAAGGTTATTGCTCTATATACACTAAAGCAGACTGTCAGCCCCACTGGAGTTCTCTAAGCAGGTGAATATATTGCTATGTGAATATACAAGATTGAGTGGGGAGGGGGAGAATCTCAGTTAATATTCATTTTAGGGATTCTTGAGCTCACTGTGAAGTGTCTTAATGATTAAACTGATTGCTAGAGAAAAGTAAGCAGCAGCTGAGGAACATTTGATTCAGGATAAATGATGTCTAAGGAATTATAATGAAAATGTTTTAATTGTCCAGATAGGGAGGGTAGAACTAGACATTGAAAATGCATGGGCATATGACAGCAGTCCAAAGAGGCCAAAATGCCATAGGATGAAACTCACGTGCCAAAGACCTTTGGAGAAGAAGACCCTGTATAAGTGATTATATGCTGATACTAAAAGCGTCAGAGCCAGTATACATGAGTTGGAGTGCCTGGTTTTAAAGGAGAGCAAAGGTACAGTGGGCATCATTGAATCCTAGCGGAACAGAGAGAACCAGTGAAACAAAATTATCTCTAGATATAATCTCATTCGGAAGGGCATACTGGATGAGTTGTTGCTGTTTGTGTCAAAGAGGTTGTAGAATCCCACAAACTAAAAATCTCAAAAGGGACATCCATCTCAACAGAATTGCTGCGTGTGGCAATACCAAGCCGCCAAAATAATTTAGTGCTGGGGATCTTCTAAAATGTTCAAAGTGATCTTGGGATGGAGAATGATACCAAAGAGGTATCCAAAGGAGGAAGTGACTTCAATTATTCCCACATAGACTGGGTATATGCACATTTTAGTCATGACAAAGAGGTAACATTTATAGGTATCCTGAATGACTGAGCCCTAGAAGAGTTGGTCATGGAGCTGACCAGAGGGGAGGTAACCCTGGACTCAATCTTAAGTAGTGCCCAATGTGATGTGAGAACTAATAGAGAACAGAAACCACGGCACCGTCAAATTTAGCCATTTGTAGACAATTGCCAAAAAAGCCCAACACACACACATTTGACTTCAAAAGGGGAAAGTTCCCAAAAATTAGGGGATTGGTAAAAAGGAAGTTGAAATGCAAAGTCAATGTTCTCTTAAATGCTTAGCGGTTATTCAAAACTGCAAAAATAGAAACTCAGCTAGAAATATACTGCAGAGCAGGAAAGGGAACACCAGAGCCAATAATATGGTAGCAGAGTCAAGGAAGGCTTTCATCTAAAAAATATCCAAATGAGGAGAACCAAAAGGAACATAAACTTTGGCAAATAAAGGGCAGGCAGACAGTAAGGGATGTGAAAAAAGTGAGGAGCACATTGCTGCCTGAAAACATAAAGACCAACAACTAAAAAGTTCTTCAGATGCATTAGAAGCAAGCAGAGAGAGAGGCAGTTGGACATTTGGATGACAGGTATACTAAAGGAGACAGCACTGAAGCTGAGTGAATTCTTTGCATCTTCACTGTGGAAGATACAGGGAAAATTCATGTGCCTGAACTTTCTCAGGAAGTGAGTCTGAGGAACTGAGGTGTCAAGAACCAGGTCCAAGGAACCAGATATGAAAAGGTCCAGGTGGCACTCACTTAAATGTGAAGTTGCTGATCTTTAAGAGAAATGTGTAATTTGTCCCCAAGATCAGCCTCCATACCAAGAGAAAGTATGCAGATGACATTATATAATCACATCAGCACAAACTTACTCTTCATTTTGATTTGGGGCTAAGCTGTGGAGGTACTGGCCAGAGACTAGAGAGCTATGTAGAGCATGGTAGTCATTTTCCTATCCACTAAAGCCTCGCCCCCCCAAAAAACCCCATGGCTTATTTTCCTTTTCTTTCTGAGCCTTCAGTATCATGGTGAGAATGTAGTCAGGTTTCTTTCTTGTAACCCATCAGTCTAGGTCAGGGATGAGCACCTGTGGCCCTCCAGTCTATGTTGGGCTTCAGCTCCTTTAATCCCTGACCATTATCCATGATGGCTGGAGCTGATGGGAGCTGTAATCCAGCAAAATGTGAAGTCCACGGGTTGCCTGCTCCAGCCTACAGAAAGAACAAGTTCAGCATCAAATACAGCTTCCACTGAAGAATTATCAGTGAGGTCCTCTAGTGAAGGCACTACATGGGCCTGTTCTCTTTCTAGAACATCAGCAGATTTTAGACAGACTTTCCCTGCATTCCCATTGGTTGTTTGCTTGCATTGATGGATGTTGTCTATAGAATTCAACTGCATTTTGTGCTTTAGTTGTTAATTCTGGGTGCAGTCAGAGAGAAAGCTAACATACTGGGGAATTTTTAGTTGCAAGAGAAGTTTGCCAAGCTCTGGTCTCCTTTAATTGTCTTTGAGAGACAGCTGAGGTTTTATATAATGATCCATGGTGTGATGGAAGCAGGGTTTTCCCCTCTATCTCTCAATTCCAGAATTTGTGGTACCCAAATAAATTGATTAAGAGTACAGTAAGCCCGCAACTTACATAGGGGTTATATTCTGAGGATCACACCCAAGGCCAAAATTATGTATAGTCAAACGCATTGGGATCAATGGTGAGTGGGATGGCCAAAGTCTTTTTTCCTAGACTGCCCCCTTTCTTTTTTAAAAAAATGCCAAGCGCCTAAAGCTGAACGTACACAAGTTAAATGCATGTAAGTTGCGGACTTACTGTCATTTCAGGACTGGCCAGAGAAAGTACTTCTTCACACAGCACCTAATTAGCCTATTTGATTGCCTCAGTGCACTGAAGGCTGTTGGCTTAGATAGCTTTAAAGGGGTACAAATTAGTGGTGGCTTTCCACTTAGTGGCTTCTGGGTGTGATAGCTGAATGGAAAGATCCTGATTCAGAGGCAACATGCCATTGACATCCATTGCTGAGGGACAAAAGCCGGAGATGGCTCTTGCCTCCATGCCCTGCTGGTGGGCTTATCAGAAGCACCTGGCTGTCCATTTGTGAAGCTTTGCTGGATTGGAGAGTCATCTGTCTAACCCAACAGATGTTCAGATGGCCTGCTACCAGACCTGCAAGCTTTGTTCTTCTGGATTGCTTCATTGAGGGGAGGATTTTTCCTACTGTGGAGGGCAAAGCTGAGAGACCAAACCTATTCCTAAAAGAACTTCTTGTTGTTGATGGGAATAATAACCTGCTTTCAGAGCATTCAAGTTATTTATTTTAACAATCAGGTGCTATGTTGCAATTACATTAGCACTAATGTGTTTCATGCCCTACTCTTCCCTATATAGTGCTTGTCGTCCTTTCCAGCCTCCAGCATTGCTGGTCTGTACGTGTTAAAGCTGCTGTGCTTGGCTAAAACTGGAAGCAATCTGTCCTGAGATGCTCCTATTTTAGTGACAGCTTTCTAAATGCCTGTAGAACAACTGTGTCACCAGAGACAGGCAGCCTCTCGTGCAAACCCCAATTAGGGTTAAGTGCACAGAGAGTTGTTCTGGCAAGAGGGAGAAATTGGATGAGCTATCTTCCTGGTATATATCCGTAGTATATTATTGGCTTAGTTCAGGTGGGCCCAGACTGAAGCATAAAGGTTGGTTGGTCAGTCAGTGTAAATTTCACTGATAGGATATTGCACTATAGTTTATGCATATTACCTTTTCCATTAAGGCTTGTTTCTGGATCTACACATCACCCTGGATCTAAACAGACATGTTTGAAAACTGATATTGTCTGAGGATATTGTCTAACCAACAGGTCAGATGAGTAGTTTTGTATTCTGGGAGCTCTTTCACACTATTGGATAGAAATTGTTGCATTTCCCAGAATGTTTGTAAGGGGAATATAGTCTGTCCAAAAGTGAACAAAGAGCAAATTCTCTAAAATCAGTTGGACAACAGAAAAATCTTTAGGTGTTTACAGTCAAGAAATGTAGGACAAAGACAGAGGTCTACAAGGAATGATTTCTGCATGGAGGAACTGCCATCTTCAAGCATGAGGTGCAGTAAAAAGCAAGTGGTATCTTAATGCAAATTCCCCTCCATGGTAAGGATATGAAAAAATAGGTCTCAAATGTAGTGAGGGCCTATGCTGTTGTTTGGTTACTTAAGATGTGGAGATGATATTTCAGGGCTTCTGAAAATAAGGTGTGTTTTGCAAGGCTAGTTATTTCAATCTAATACCAGATCCTTGTTCTAAAAAAAGAGTCCTGATAGAATTTGACAAAGTAAGAAATCAATCCATTTTGAGGATGGCAGGGAGTGCTTGCAAATTTCACAACCCAAGCTCCTAGTATTCAGTTCTGTAGGATGAGTCTGCCTGACATTTTCCACCCTGCTGTGAAAGAAATCTGCCCCCTCCCCAATAGCTTAATCTGTTAAAAGGGCTAGGGTATTTTTGGTTCAGATTCCAAATGAAACACCGAAGTTGAAACACCACAGTTGTTTGAGGGGAGGAAATAGATATTTGCTGAATAGCCAGAAACCATAATTTCAAATTTTCAAAAAGAAAGCACAAGTGAAGTCTGGGTAGAAATAACAAACCAGTGATAGTAAGTTCAGTAATCTCTCTCTCTATATATATGAATCTCTTGTTTATATGTAATCTTATATTCTAGGGATTCTAGAATATTCTAAGATATGTAATCTTATATTCTTATATTCAACATCTATACTTGTGAGATCTTGATTTATCTAAATTGGTGCTCAGCATCTCTTTCAAACCTTCAACCTGGTTTGGAGGAGCCTGATTGTATCAGATGTGACAGAGGGGAGCAGTTGCAGGCTCCCTGATTCTGCCAGCTAAGTTGACAGCCTTCTTGAGAGCCCTACAACCTTCTTTGAAACTTCTCCTTGAGAGTCCAGTAGTGCATTGCTTTCTTGAAAGGAAAAGGTGGTGATGGTGGAACATCTAGTTTATTGGGAATTAGAGCCGGCAGTGTAATTGACCTTAATCTGGAAACGTACCAAACTCTTTACTTTGAGTTCTGTAACCCTCAGTGTCTTATCTTATCTCACTTCGGGGGAGTGAAATGGCTGTAAGTAGGATACCGTCTGTTAATGCCAGAAACTTCCCTTCCCTTCCCCAAATACAAAGTCTCTATCCCTTATATATCCTGTGTTAAAACTTTCATTCAGATCTTCAGTGTACTGTCAGAGGATTATTTTCTGTGGGACAGAATTACTTCTTGTGTGTTGCTTTAATAACAACACCAAAACCTTTGATTAGATGTGCCTGGAAGCCATTTTGAATTATGCAAATTATGCATAATTCACAAAGTCTCTGTGGTTTTTCTTCAAGCAGTGAAAGCTATAGGGGTAAAATGTAGGGTTCTGTGTGTGTGCATATGCATGCAAATTCTTCTGTAACAAGTAACGTGAAAACTGTTGCTCTTAGACCTGTTTCAGACGTTACTGCAGGGCACCCATATTACAATGACTTTGGAGTCACTTGAATGATTAAGATAGTAGTTTCACTGTGGATGCAGTCAGCTGGTTTCCATCTTTCTCTAAGTTAGGGTGGGCAACCTGTGGCGTTCCAGTTGTTGTTGGAATCTATTTTCCATCAACCCTAGGGATGATGGAAGTTGTAGTCCAACAACATCTGGAGGGCCACAGGTTGTCCACCCCTGCTGTAAAGAATGAAAGTGACATGAAACATACCTGCATCTAACAATTTCCAAGTGAAACATGTCTCCTGAAACAATGGTTCTCTCCAGTACTATGTGCAGTTACCCTGTAATTCTCATTTTAAGGAATGGTATTAAATCATTTGAGTGTGGCAGCTGTGTTTTTCTAAGGTGTCACCCATGTTCCTAAAATTTTATAGATTACATGACACCCCCCCCCAAAGGCCTGGTTTCTACTCTACGGGGCATTCAACCTGAACTTTGTAACTGAAGGAGATGACAGAGAGTGGAAAGGGAAAGTCAGAAATAAGAGAATGAATGTACACAGATGTAGTTGCAGGTAATTGGGCTTTCCTGCAGCCGAAAGCAGAGAGAAGAGGAAGCTCAGAGCCAGCTCAGACCTTCCAAACCTTTCTGTCTGGGACACTTGGGACTCTTGCCTGGCCACACCCCTCCCCAGGCCACATTCCTCTCTTACTTCATCTGAATCCTCGGCTGTTTTTCTCTGTCTGAAATAAATCCTTAAATCATGATGATGCCTTAAAGAAACAAATAAAACTAACTAAACTTTGGATGAGTTTTATTGTCACTAACAGATCTGCATTAAATTAACACACACACACCCTAGTTTAATTTGATTCCTTATGCAGGCAAACTCTGAACTACTAGCTCGGATCCTATGAATTCCATTGGTACAAACCCATTGACTCTGTTGCAGCCTTCCTGGAGGGCAATAGAGGGCAATGAAATTTTGGTGTTGGTCTTTGTCTGAAAATTTATTGGCAACTTTAACCTCCCTGAAAAGGTTCTAATTCACAATGTGAGTTAATTCACTATTTATGAAACCTTTAGTTCAGCCTTAAGTTGAAGGTTAGATTGAGGAACTAATGCTACAGTCCTAAATATAATTGCATGGAAGTAAGAACCACCAAACACAGTGGGAATTGCTCCTGAGAAAGCACAAATAGACATTGCAAGTCTTCCTAATGTCACCGAAGATTGCAATACATGGAAGATCCTGCTTCACAAACCACAAATTGCTTCTGTTGAGGCCCAACATAGAATTTATTATGCTGTCGTATGTGTAATACATTAAAGTTGTAGGCAAATGGGAGGAAATCCTCTGTCTTAATTCTAATATTTTTTCCCCCCACAGGTATAGCCTTTACAGACCTCCCTGTAAGTACAACTATTTTCAGTATTTTAACAAAAGATTCAAATTGAAGGGAGGGGGAAATTGACTGGGATATTTTGATGTCTTCTCTTTGCCATGCCATCTGGAAGTGGTTAGTATGAGGCTCCTTGCTTGATGTGTTTGCATTGAATCAGGTTGGCAAGTTTCTTTTAGCAAAACTAGCTGCAGAAAGGGTGCTGGTTATTATCAGGCTTTTCTTGGAACATACTGGAAGTGTAGGGAAAACTCAAATTATTGCAAGGTTGTTTGGAATTCAATAGTTTTTCAGGGATATGGTTTGCCTGCTTTAAAATAAACAATGCAAGACGTCTGTCTAGAATAAAGCAGGACCTCTATGTTGCCTTGGCTTCCTCAGGCAAGCTAAAAATAACATGAGTTAGTGAATTGTTCAGCAATGCAAGTTAGCCAAGCAAACAAAGAGAATTCCCAGTTTCTGAAATGTTCCATTTTGTTTTTGCTATACAAACTACATCCACAATCCAAACATTTCCTTGCCTCTTGGACTTGCTAGTTGGAGTCCAAATCTAACAACACCGTAGCAAATCAAGTAAGAAATTTCTTTTCAGCATGAGCAAAGTTCAAGGGCTCTTGGATAGAAATGGTAGTCTGAGGGTTGCTTTGTTCTATGGAACTTGGTACATGAGTCCCAGAGCCGATAACAAAATGCACATGCATTGGTTCCATTAGAAACAGTGCATATATGTGTAATTTTTTCCCTGTTTAGAAATGTGCATCAACATGTGGGCTGATGCATTCTTGCTTACCACTGGAGCATGCGGCAAAGGAAAAGCGGGAATGCATACCAGCATGTACTTTTAAAGTCTGAGATTATGCATTTTGTGTGCAGGAATCAGCACCAGAGTACAAAACATGTAAGCAGTTGCACTTCAAAACATGCAAGACAAACAGGCTTACAAAAAGAAAATTTTGCAACAGCAGTAGGGAGAACAGATAGACCATTCATGAGTTAGGTTAGGAGTGGGAACCTGTGGCCCTCCAGATATTGCTGGGTTACAACTCTCATTTGCCCTGACCAGCAGATCTAATGGTCAGGGGTGATTGGATTTGTAGTAAAACAGCATCTGGAGGGCAATAGACTTAACTTGAGCACATGCAAGTGCTGGAATTTGCACTTTGAAAGCTATAGCAAAGATACCAACCTTGTATTTAACAACTCGCTCGGTTGCCATGGGCAACCAAGAATTTCATGCAGGCAAGTGAGCAAGCTGGCAGAAGAGGAGCATTCACTCCATCACTTTTCCACTTGGTATCTCTGCTAGCTGTGGAAGAAAATAAGTCATTTTCCTCCATAACCATCAGAGAAATGCACCAGATTAATGTAGGGATGGGTTGCTTTTTATCTTTTCTGTCAGCCTACTTGATGGAAGGTGTTAAAAAAAACAAGCACCCGTTAACAGGCCAGTAGTTTGCATATACATGCTGCCCTCTCTTCCACAGCCAACATGGGACACACAGGGTACTAACCGCTAGGCAGGTAGGCATCCGCACTCCCAGGTTAGTAACTTTGGGGAGCTAGTTTACAAGGCTGGATAATATTGCAAGCCAAATGGAAGTGTGCATTTTGTGGGTAAATAGCATAATAAACTAGCTTAATACTTTAAAACTTCTTGAAAATCAAAACCAAAATGTATGTACATGCAGATATTACATGTCCCATGGTTGCTTAGCTTTGAAAGCAACTATTTAACAACCAAGGAACAAACTTTTGGGGGGAGGGAGAGCTTTGTTTGAAACCTTTAAGTCAGGCTTCCTCACCCTCGACCCTCTAGATGTTTTTGGCCTACAACTCCCATGATCCCTAGCTAGCAGGACCAGAGGTCAGGGATGCTGGAAATTGTAGTCTCAAAACATCTGGAGGGCCGAGGTTGCAGAAGCCTGCTTTAAGTGCAGCTGAATTGCAGTCCAAGGTTTTCATTGCTATTATCAGTCTGGTTGTTTCGCTGTTATCTGTTGCTGCATTCAGACATGTCATTTGTTCAGATGATTTGTAGGTAGCATTAGTTCCTTTCAGAAAGTGTTCATGAACAGTTAAAGATCCAGCCAAGGAGCAGGGCCCCTGCTTGTTTAAATGTAAGTTTACATAATTGCAGAGTTCACTCTTAGTTGGGTAGCTGGAAACAATTTAAGAGGTACTTCTTTGCAATGGCTAGTTCCCTCCCCAATTTGCTTCCATGTCCTGCAGCACGTCCAAGATCCTGCCTACATGCTGTGTTTCGGGCCAGTCCTAATGAAAGACAGAATGCTACATTTCCAAATGAAAGATAGAATGCTCCATTTTCTAGTCAGCCTTGGCTCCCCAGATTTTATTGGACCACAATCTGCATCAGCCATAGCAAGCATGCCTAATGAACAGGGACGATAAGAATTGTAATCCAACAATATGTGGGGAACCATGCTTGGAAATCTGTTCTAGGTTATGGATTTGATTACTGCATATTGACTTCCCTGTGATCCAGAACAGGGGGATATTGACTTCACTAGTAGAGTGTGAATTACAATACAATGCAAATTCAATATAGTTCCAGAATCAATAAAAATAAATGAAAACACCTAAATGATATGATTTCTAGCACCCACTGTTAGAAATGAAATTAAGTTGGTTCATATCAGTGAATGATGATGCTCTTTTCAGAGATCATCTGCTTCTCCTGTGCTGAAAAGTTCTTACGCAATCAGTCTGCAACTCCATGAAATACTTGCGCACGATAAACTTTCTTTGCCCTTTTGTCTACAGTCTACTACTTCTGAAGTTGTCTTCTTTTTCCAGTTTAGTAGCAGTCCTTGAAGCTTAAGCTGCCTTTTATCTAATCCTTCCCAGTACACTGGTTTTCTTACTGCAGTTACTCTGTTGCTTGGAAGAGTGTTGCATGAGTCTTACTCTGAATTTTAGCTCTTCAGCTTCCTTTCTGCCTCGGCACTGAACTCTTCTCTACCTGTCCACTTAATTCTGAACCTTTGGATATTCAGTTCTTAGCTGCATGGCAATGAATTTATTTTCTGTGAGGGCTGTTCCTGTAGCATCACTTGAATTCAAAATCAGCTGTAAAGGAGAACGGCTATATACAATCTTGACTTGACTGGTATCAGGAAAGATTTTGGATTTAAAAAATACTGTGAGTCTTTGGTAGACTGATCCAATCAGATGTGATTTTAGACTTCTTTCTGCTTTGGAATTACAACCAACAGGATAGGGTACTCTTCCAACCCACCCCTCTTCTTTGCTGTCACCCTCTACACAGACTCAGGCTGCATCTAGTCAACCAAACCTGCCCATTCTGCCTCTCCTGGTGTGAAAAGTAATGCAATTCTAAGAATGTTTCTTGCTGAGAAAAAGTGAGCAGCATATGTAAGGACTTCATAATATTCCCAATAAAGTACCTAGATTTTCAGAGCATGCTTGACCATTGCTTCTCACTAAGGGTACTGGGTTTCAGATTTATTTATTTTTTAAATTACATTTATATATCACCTTTTCCTCAAAGGAACTCAAGGTAGTGTACATGGTTCTCCTTTCCCATTTTGTCCTCACAACAACCCTGTGAGGCAGCTTAGACCTAGAGACTGGCTGACCCAAGGTCACCCAGTGAGCTTCATAGCTAAGTGAGAATTCAAACCCTGGTCTCCCAGGTCCTAGTCCAACACTCTAACCATTACACCACCCTAGCACCTGGAAAGGAATGCAAGAAATGGATCTTCTAGCTAGCAAAAAGAAAGCAGCACAGCAAGGTTACCTGAATGAAGATAAGGAATAGAAGGGAATATTGGGGAAGGGTCGTAGCTCAGCAGTAGAGCACATGTTTGCATGCAATTGGGAAAAGACTTCCTGGAGATCTGCTACTGAGATACTCAGTACTGAGTGTAGACAGTACTAAGCTAGATGGGGCCATGGTCTGACTTGGTATACAAGGTGGCTTCCTATGTCCCTTTCCACAAAAATGTGGACAAGCTCACTAGAAGGTGAAGTGTAAGTTATTAGGGAGGTCAAACGAGTAATTTGGAATGAATGTACAAGATAGATTAGAAAAGCACAATTCACTGCCTGGCATGACTTGTTGGAAAGGAAATGTAGATACAGTGGTACCTTGCTTTTCGAATGTATTCCATTCCAGAAGACAGTTCGAATTCTGAAACATTCGAAAACTAAACAATAGCCAACAGCTAGGCCTCAGGATCTTGCACTCAGCAGAAGCCGTGTGGTATGTTTGACTTCCGAGGTGTGTTTGAAAACAGAAGCATTTACTTCCGGGTTTACGGCATTCGAAAACCGAGGTACCACTGTATGGGCTAAGTATCTTACATACCTCCTAAAGCCTTGTTTTGTAGTTATTTGGTATATAGGCCTTGTGACAGTAATCAGCGCTGCTTTCTCTTAGTTGCTTGCTTCCAGATGCTGGAAGCTCTCTTCCAGTTCTCCATAGTAGCTTTGCTTTGTCTAAGCTGTCTTTTTCTTTCTTTCTCAAAACTGTTGGTGCTGTTAAAGCTCTATCCAGCACACATTGCTTGTACCTTTCTCAGAGGCACTTAGAGGATATGTTTACAAAGTATTTTTGCCATAGGTAACTACAAGCACGATGGTAAAATGTTGTGGAGGTTCTGGAGTAGCTTTCATTCTAGTCTTGGAAGATTATGAGTACATATTATGTGACTGTCATTAAGGCAAATGATCCTTCCTCCATTCCCACAGTCTGTTTTTAGGAAGACTGAAGTCCCTGGGGAAACTTGCAATCTGCAAACTCATGCAAGGATTGACATGGAGCCATGTGTGTTTAATTTTGCTCTCTCACTTCCCAAACTGCTCTTGGAAGTCACAAAGATTCAGTAAAACCTTATAGCTATGTCATAAAGGGTTGGGTTTTTTTGCTAGTTGGTTCCTCATATATTGTGTTCAGTTTCTTATAAATTGCTCTGAATAGTGCTCATCACGTCTGCCTAATCTGGAGGCTTCATTTGAGCTTCCTCTAAGTTTAGCACCCTTGCTTGTTTTCAGCTGATCCTTGGAGGCTCAGAGAAAAATGTATGTTAGCTTTCTTCCCGAAAAGGGCCCTATTTTTTAACTGGGGTTTCTTCTTTTGGCAGGCCAATTTATATCCCACTGTGGGGCTCCAGACACCCGGAGAGATAGTGGATGCCAACTTTGGGCAGCAGCCGTTTGTGTTTGACATCGAAGATTACATGAGGGAGTGGCGAGCAAAGATTCAGGGCACCATTAAGCGGTTTCCCATAGGTGACCGGCTAGGTGAATGGCAAGCCATGCTACAGAAGTGAGTGGGAGCATTAATTTCTTTTTACTTAGAAGCTTCATTAAAGAACATCAATTGCTATAGAGTGGTCTGCTTATAAAGTATGTCCTGCACCCCTCTTCCTTTATGTTGGACAAATTTTGTGTGTGTTAAAGTTCCTTAATGCTAATGAGGAACAAAGAGCTTACTGTTTGCTCTGCACATGTGTTTCGTTTTTAAAAAACAAAAACAAACCTGCACAAATCTCATTTTCAGTAGCAATCTCAAGAGTGGAGGGCTGCTTTCAGGAACTGTCTGGCTTGATTGCTTTTTAGCCTGTCTGAGGACAAGTCACTGGCAAATCACTGAACCAGATGCGGAGGGAAAGGCGATGGTTTGGAGAAGCATTACAGCTTCTATATCTTTGTGTCCCAGACAGAAATGAGGGGAAATGAAGCACAGAGCTCCAGAGCACAGAATTTGAAGTGACTGAGAATCTGATGTCCCCTCTTCCCAGAAACTGTTTTGGATGAAGCTTTGCAAAATCAACAGGCAGTTGACCATTGGTTGTGGATTGTAGACCACAACACCTGGAGGGAAGCATGTTACATTCCAGAGGACAGGGGTGCTATCGCTTTGGATTTTTTATATATTTTGACATATTTTTATAATGCCCTTTGATTATTTTTGTAGAGTGGTTTACAGCACAGTGATTAGTGTTCTATTATATATGACTTTCAAAAAGGATTAGATAGGCTTATAGGACTGCTACAGACCTCAGTAAGACAGGCAGTGTATTTAATGGTTCATTATAGGATTTCCAGTAAATTGGTCCAGGGTCACTTGCTGTTCACTTACATTAATACAGTATCATTTTGAACATCTTATGCAGTGATACTAAAAAAAAATGTTTGCAACATTAATGTAGGTTTCCTTCACCATAATGCATGCATTTCCTGGGTGCTCTTTAATAACAGTTTGACTGTTCATACCCAAGCAGGAGTTGATTTCTTCCCTTTGGCTAGCCTAACTCCTGTGTTGCGTGTGCGAATGTACCAAGAGTAGTGTCTTCTGTTCCCTTCCCAAAATTCTTTTGTTCACTCTTCATATAAGAGTATGACATTTTCATTGTAGGAAGCAGGGCCAAGGACAACTCTGGGATACACCGTCTGACTTCAAATTAATGTGATCCTCCCAGATATATTTTACAGCAGGGATAGCCAACTTCCAAGAAACTGTGATTTACTCACACAATTAAAAAGTGGCAGTGATCTACCCCTTTTTGGGGGGTTCCGGTCAAAGTTGCTGAGCTTTTTTTAGGGAGGCAAATCCCGTTTATTGGGGGGATCAGGGCAGGGGAATAAATAATAAGTCGCTCACCAAGAGATTGCTAATGAAACAGTCAACATCGCAGCGAGAGCTCCGTCTTCCGGTATAGCAATCTAGGGGGTGGGGCCAGATAGAGGAGCCAGCGATCGTCCACGATCTACAAAAACCTCCTGGGGATTGACCAGTAGATCATGATCGACCTGTTGGACAGCCCTGTTTTACAGCTTTGCCATGGCTCTGTGCTGACAGAGATACCCATTCTACAATTTGTTTTCTGTATTCTCCCCCCAGTATGGTCTCTTCCTATCTGGTCCATCACGGGTACTGTGCTACAGCAACTGCCTTTGCCAGGGTGACGGAAAGTACAATCCAGGAAGAACAGATCTCTATAAAGAACAGACAAAGTAAGTTTATTCTTACAACTTCCTCACAACTTTCCCTGAAGACTTGAGAGACAGCCCTTCCTGCCTGCAGCATGACTTCAGTCCAATATCCACATATTCAGATGCCAAATGGAAGTGGTCACTAGGTAGAACCTCAATATCCTGCACAACTTCCCTTGGGTCCTCTTCTGTGGCTGCCAGTGTTCCAGTGTCTCATCATTTCCCCCCCTCATCCTGCCACTCCCAAACCAAATGTTTGGTTTGAGAACTTTAAAAGCAGGATAGTCTACTCAAGGAAAATAGGTACTCTTTTATTTAATCTGCCAAACCTATATTATTTATTTCTATTTTTTTAAATGCATACATAAAAAAAACCTTGCATGTTGTCTTTGGCTGTCCTTTGCAAAGAACTCACTGCTTTGGGTACAGAGTTATACCTCTAACTCCATGCAGGAATTATGGCACTTGAAAGACCAGTATCTTCTCTCAATTGCTGAATTACTAATATTTATTTGCAATGTTTATCGATAATCTTTCTGCCATAAGAACTCCCATAGTGGTTCACAATGAAAATAAAATCATTTTATGTGGGGAGGGTTTCCTTTTGCCTCTTAACAAGTTCTCAGAGTAGCTTTCATATAAAGTAATGTAAAGCATCAGTAAACAACTATCAGGTACAAAGTTCACACATCAATAAAATTAATAAAATCAATAAACCAACAGGAAGCAGCATAAAGGTATTGTAACACCAGCAGATAAATCAGTAGTACTGTTCAGTTAAAAACTTAAGACAAGAATACAGTGGTGCCCCGCAAGACGAATGCCTCGCAAAACGAAAAACTCGCTAGACGAAAGAGTTTTCCGTTTTTTGAGTCATTCCGCAAGACAAATTTCCCTATGGGCTTGCTTCGCAAGACGAAACGTCTTGCGAGTTCTTGCGAGTTTGTTTCCTTTTTCTTAAAGCCGCTAAGCCGTTAATAGCCGCTAAGCCGTTAATAGCCGCTAAGCCGCTAATAGCCGTGCTTCGCAAGACGAAAAAACCGCAAGACGAAGAGACTCGCAAAACAGATTAATTTCGTCTTGCGAGGCACCACTGTAACACTTTTTATCTGACACCTAATAATCTGCAGTTGGCACCAGGTGTACCTTCTGGGGAAGAAATTCCACAACTGGGGTGCCATCACACTGAAGTCCCTATTTGTGGTCACTTTTATCTATCCTCTGAAGTTAGGAGTATCTAGAAAAAGGCCTTTGAACATCATCTGCAATTAAATAGGTTCATGTTCTTCAGGTTTTCAGATAAAGTCCAACATTTTTATGGCCTGTCTACCTATGGGATTATATGCCGCCTGTCATTCTAGGCAATCTTACTGTTCCATCCCAGTGATTCTGCTTTCATCTACAGGAATACAGAAGCTGGTCTTGGCAGGAAGAGTGGGGGAAGCCATTGAGGCCACACAACAGCTATACCCAGGACTCCTAGAGCACAATCCTAATCTCCTTTTTATGTTAAAGTGAGTACATCCAAATCCTTTCAAGTACGGTAAGACCTGCAGTGTGAGGAACATAAGAAGACAGGGGCTTTATACTGGAACTACTGGCTGTGATCTATCAAACTGAGTCTAATGATACAATGATACAAATATTCCAGGTTTTTACTTTGGCTATTACAATTAGAAGCTGTCAGGAGAAGATCATTGCACTTTGAATGGTGGTTAATAAATTTATTAAATGAAGGAAGAATAAGTGATATGTAGTGCTGAAAAGGTGACCCCATTGGTTAGGGTAGCAGGCTTGAGCCACATTCCAACTTATTCCAGAAGAGCTGGGGATGGCAAATCATCCAGTGAAAGGTTGCTTTACCTATAGAATGATGCTTTCAACATCTCTCTGTGTTAAGACATTATTTGCAATGGCACCGTTTTCCTCCATGGTATCGTTCTTTGTCCTTCTCTGTACTTCAAAACAGGCATGCAGACCTGAATTGCTTGCTTTCATTATTAGCACTCATAAAACACCTAAGATTTTTAATTGCTGTACAAGCATCAAAAGAGAAGACCACCCTTGCTCACAATCTAATAATCTAGTACAGGTAGATGATCTGGTTGTAGTTCATCAACATCTGGAGAGCCAAAGGTTCCCCACACTGGATCTAGTTGGTCATACTAAGTAGTGGCCTGAACCTATACCACTTTCACAGAGACTCAGCTTTTTTTACTCTTAACACACCGGTGATTTTAGAAGTGGCTGTCTTCAATGATGGAACATGGAACAAGGTGCTAGGCTTTGCTGTATCTGTTCCTTCAAAAGTGAAGTATAAAAGGGTCTTGTAATTAATTAATTAATTTGATGCCAAAGTAGGCTTCTAAGCAGCTTACCAGTATAGAAACTTGCCTCATTTCTTCTTCATGGTTCTCTTATTAACACTTGCTGCACAATGCTAATCCTTTTCTATGAGAAGCAAAGCTTAAGGGTGACTGGTTGCTCCCAACGTGAAGCCAAAATGCTATGGCTCAGTGGTAGAGCACATGCTTTGCATACAGAAGGTCCCAGATTCAAGCACTGGCATTTCCAGGAAGGGCTGGGAAAGACCCTTGGCTGAAACACACCCTGGAATAGACAATACTGAGCTAGATGGATGAATGGCCTGACTTGGTGTAAGACAGCTTCATGTGTTGACCGGGTACCTTATCTACTAGCTCCCCTGAAGAATACTAATTCATCAAGAGAGAAAATTTTCACTCATTAGTGCCACTTTCAGACATTTCAGTAAAAAGATTTACTCTGTGGCTGGAGTGGTTTCCTGTCTTGGGAAGGGGCTTAACATGTGTCTGGTTCCTTTATAATGGAATGGCTTTTGAATGGAACATTAAATTCATGCATCATCTTGCGGGTGACATCTCTAGCTGAAAACTTTGCTTTCAACACTAGAATGCTGCTATTTTCATCTGGGTGTTTCTAAAGATCCTTGTTTGTTCTAGGCTGCAGCTACTAATGGGTGCTAAAATGCTTGTATGCTTCTCATGAACCATTGCACAGCATCCATTGCTCTGGCATTTTGTGTTTCAACTCTTTCTCTTCCTCTCTCCTTCCCCACAGGTGCCGGCAGTTTGTGGAGATGGTGAATGGAACAGACAGTGAAGTACGTTGTTTCAGTGCCCGCAGCCCCAAATCCCAGGACAGCTACCCTGATTCCCCCAACCTAAGTCCAAGGCACGGCTCTAACAATTTGCACATTCACAGCACTGGTAAGTGTTGATTTCTCTGCTAGGTAGTCAGTTACTTGGCTTTCTTCTACAGAGCACTCTAGCCACATTCAGGCATTCTGCAAATGAACCCTAACCCTTTTAGTACTTTTCCAGCTCCCTGCCCAAGGGTACTTATTACCCAATGTGCACCCATAATGAAGCACTTGAGATGTTTGGGGAGAATTCTTGGTGTGTTCACACCTCACTCCACTTGTTAGGAATTCTCTCCCTGTACTGTGAGAGAAGAGCCAAAGCTCAGGAGGGTGTGGAGAAGTACTGTCCTATAGGCCTTACCACTGTATTCATTCAGTGCCCTGTCTGTACATAGGAACATAGGGAGCTGCCTTATACCGAGTCAGACCACTGGTCCATCTAGCTCAGTACTGTCCATGTTGACAGGCTGTGGCTCTCCTGGAGAGGCCAAGGATGAAATCTCGGATCTTCTGCATGCAGAGCTATGGCCCTTCCCCACTGTAGGTTCTGTAGGCCTATAGGGAAGGCCAAACTAGAAATGACCTTGATGTGTAACTGGATATCCTGTATAATTTGAAACTTTAAAAGTCAACAGGGGAAACGGGCATTCAGTTAGATCAGGGCCACAACACTAAAGGATGGGGCTGGGGCCGGCCTTTTCCTCTTGTGCCGTTTGCCCATTTTTAAACTCCTTCCACTTCCAAGAAGAATTGTCTAATAAGGAAGATAGCAGGAAGAGAGAGGATAGTGTCACCTCCTCCCAGCACCACAGTCTTGATCAGAAGCCACACACAGAAATGTAAGTAAATGGCAGATCCATGGGTGGGGTGAGAGAGGTGTAAATCCTCTGGCTTTGCAATGCTGTCTCAGGGACCACAGAATTGCTCCTTAAGGTGCTTCGTCTTTAGATGTATTGTCCAATATGGATGTCCATGTCACATAACCATTGCATTAATTAATATCCATGTTGCTTAGGCACATTCCTCATACCATTTTATCTTGCCAGTGCCTGTCTACTGATAGTAAGTACTTGGCCACTTGACTTTGCCTGGATATGTGTGCTCTGTGCACATTTCAGTAAGATGTATTGTGGTGTGTGGTTTTCAGCTTTGAGTAAGCATTAGATCAGACCAAGGTCTTGCTGCTAGTGGTTAGCTGCATCAGAAATAGGGACTAAGTATATACTCGAGTATAAGCCGACCCGAATATAAGCCGAGGCACCTAATTTTAGGACAAAAAACTGGGGAAACTTATTGACTCGAGTACAAGCCTGTTCAACACACCACAAACCTGGTGGTGGCGGCAGCGGAGGAGGAAGAACAAGCAGCTCGAAAGGGCTGCTTTTGGGCTGCTCGTTCCTCCTCTGCCACTGCCAACAGTGGCGGAAGAGGAGGAAGAACAAGTAGCTTGCTCCTCCTCCGCCACCACCGACAGGGGCAAAGGCGGAGGAGGAGGAAGGAGCAGCCCAAAAGGGCTCCTTTCGGGCAACTCGTCCCTCCACCGCCGCCTCTGCCGCTTGCAAGAGCAGGCATAGGAGCCCGGTTGGGGGAGGCACAGTGCAGTGCAGTGCCTCTCCCAGCTGCAGCTCCTGTGCCTGCCCTTGCGAGAGGTGGGCGGCGGCGGAGGGACGAGCGGCGAGATAGGGCTCCTTTCTTGCCACTCATCCCTGCATCGCCGCCTGCCTCACTCAAGTATAAGCCGAGGGAGACTTTTTCAGCATTAAAAATATGCTGAAAAAGTCGGCTTATATTCGAGTATATACGGTAGTCTAAGGTGGACATTGAAGTGGGTTTGTCCAGATCCCCTTGCAACATTAAAACAGAGCAGGGGCACCAGTCCTCATTCTTCTTCTGTTTCAGGAGCGGACAGCCCAAGCTGTAGCAATGGAGTTACTTCCATAAAAAACAAACAGAGCCACTGTAAATATCCAGCACTGAGCTCGTCGTCATCATCCTCTTCCTCGTCATCCCCTTCATCGGTGAACTACTCAGAGTCTAACTCCACAGATTCCACCAAGTCCCAGCAGCACAGCAGCACCAGCAACCAAGAGACCAGGTAGCACAGAAGCGCTCTTTCTAGTGAGAAGTTTGTAGCAGGCAGCTGTAACGGGGGTGGAAACTGATGTAGCGTCCTGCTTCTTACGCCCAGGCATTTGCAAATGCACAAGCAGCAGACACACACACAAATCCATTTTTCCGACCCAGTTGAATTCCCTTTCAATATAATTTGACACTTGTGTTAATCACAGCAGTATATACATTTTATAATTTCAGCCTGAAAATCCACCAAGAACTTCTGGTTGATCTGCAGTGTGCTTTAATCCTCACTGACGCTGTCTTTCCTGTTAGCTATTCCTCTTATTCCCCCAGGAAGACTCCTTTGCTTTCTAAGACCCTCCTTTTTTTCCACACAGTGACAGTGAGATGGAGATGGAGGCAGAGCACTACCCCAATGGAGTCCTCGAGAATTCTGCTACAAGGATAATGAATGGCACTTACAAACATGAAGAGATTCTGCAGACAGATGATTCCAGCATGGGTAGGGTTCAGTGTGGAAAACATCTTCTCATCTCTGTTCCAGGGAACACTCAGCTTAGCAAGTGTGGGTGATGTTCCCTAAGGAAACTGCTACTTGGGGTGCCTCTTCCAGTCCAGAAACCTGCAGAGAGGGCATGGGATGCAAAAAAAAATTGTTTCTAAAATTAGTTAGATCATTAGAATATCAAACAGTAAAATTTTGAAAACGATGAAGTAATTTCTTGCACCACGACTGAAGTGCCAATGTAATTTATAGCTGCTGATGGACAGCATTTTAAAACTAAATGCCAGAGATTTACCAACTGCCTGCTGCAAAACCAGAACAATATAACTGTTTAAAATGTCTGCATTTTTATTAGTACCTGAATATTAACATCAACATTTCATTGTCCTGTTATATGTCACTTAAAAGCTATAATTTCTGTTTGTAAACCAATAGCCAGGCGTGTACATCCAAGCAAACATTTCTTTCTTTAGTTTATGTTACACTTAGAGCTGCACTTAACATGTGCTTTGGCACAGGATTTTGGTCCAGTCTTAACAATTTTACGCTTCATGTTTTTGGAGGTAGCTAATGCTGGAAACTTGGCAGCCCAAAAGGACTTTTGATCATGCTTCTAGTGGTGGGACTTCCCTGAGCCTTCTGCTATTGACCTCACTGGAATTGAACAAACTGGCTTTTTGGGGGACAGAGATGGAGGAAGGTGATTGCTTTGGTGCTCCAGCCCTTCCCTTCTTTTCACTTTCCCTTCCCTTCTTCTTTCCTTTGCTCTAGAAGATGGCTGTCCTCAGAGGCAGCTCTGTGGAGGGAACCATGCTGCCACTGAGCGGATGATCCAGTTTGGGCGGGAGCTGCAGACCCTGAGCGAGCAGCTGTGCAGAGAGTATGGGAAGAATACGACACATAAAAAAATGTTGCAGGTGTGCCATGTGGCTGAGAACCCCATTCACATTCATGACCCAGAACTTGAAACCATTCATTCATTCAAAATATCCCCATTTCACCTCTCAATATAAAAATGCTATGGCGGCTGCTTGCAATAAAAAATAAAAACAGTATAATAGGAAGCTGCCTTATAGTGAGTCAGACCTTTAGTCCTTTCAGCTCAGTCTATACTGACTGGCACCAGCTCTCCAGGATTTCAGGCAGAGGACATTCCCAGCCCTACTGGGAGATTCCAGGGGTTGAATTTGGGACTTTCTGCATGCAAAACAGATGTTCTACCACTCTTGCTATGGCCCCGAAATAAAAAGTAAAAATAAAAGGCAATAGAGCAGTGTCGCAGGAGGAGTTTTTAAAACTAATAAAACCATCAACACCCAATTGGTCACTTAAAACTCTTTTAAAACCCAAGGAAAATAGTACTGTGTTGACCCTGACACCTAAGGATTTTAGATTCGCTACCAAGAAATAGCCCTTAAGTTTTTAACTGAAGCCCTGGAGCCCTCTGTTTCACATCAGGAGAAAGGGTTGCACAAGAAGGACACTCTATGCCCTCCCATTTTCCAGAGAAGTCACCTTGGTTTGCACTTATCATAGTTCATAACCCAAACTACCATTCAGGCTTTCAAAGATAGAACAGGCAAAGATGTAGATTAGTGTCACTTGCCTGCTTTCATTTCTGCATACTCATCACTTAGCTTTATCTTTGCGCCTGCATCCATGGTGCAGTAGCCATAACTGCAGTTTGTCACATGAGCTAGGATTCCTTAAGCTTGGTTTTTCATACTGCCTGCACTGAGCCATTACACATCTTGATTGGACCAAGAATAGTAGTTAAATACCAACAGGACAAACTGCTCTTTGTCCTCTTTGGGTTAAAAACTATTTAGTTCAATATTTTAAAACATGTTTTAAAATATAATCATTTCCCTGCAATTTCTTTAGATTCACTTTCTCCCAAGCAGAGCAGTGAGTTCGTGTGACATATGAGAGTATGTGTTCTCTGGTCTCAATTTGAAGAGACTCAGTAATTTCGGGTGGCCCATTCCATCAGAGAATCCTGGTGTTTTGTGTATGTGTTGCAGTGCTGTTCAAGCCTCTCTTCTTTCACTCAGGATGCGTTCAGCTTGCTGGCCTACTCTGATCCATGGAACTGTCCCGTTGGCCAGCAGCTAGATCCAATCCAACGGGAACCCGTGTGTGCTGCACTCAATAGCGCTATATTGGGTAAGGTGACAAACGGTGAGGTAGCTCAGACCTTTCTCTTCTGCATGCACCTGTTTCTGCAGTGAGGCTACTGATGCTGGAGGGCAGCTGGCAGGATTATTGCTTACCTTGCAAAATCACTGCAGTGTTCTTTAATTTCCCCCAACATTTTGCTTAGTTTTCCCCGTGTTCCATGAAGACCTCCTGAAATATATTGTGTTAAGCCACTGCCATAGTTTTAAGGACTGCTGAGTGAAGCCATAGCCACTGTGTGTGCTTTTGCTGCACACATATTTATCATCGCAGAGGTGAAAGCTGGAGTGGGGAGCAGACTTGCAAAATCTCACCTCACCCATGAATTCAGTAGGTAGCTTGAGCTTCAGCCACCCTTTCTGTAACGAGGGCATAATGCCACTAATTTGCCTTACAGGGTTATTATATAATGTGGTAACATATGTAATAAATTTGGGATACCTCGATAAAACTTGAAGGCATGGTCCAACAGATGCTGAGCTTTCGTCGGTCTCACTGCTTACCATGAAATAAAGCTATGCCTGTGTATAATTTTCATATTGAAACCAGTGGGCTGCATCATTGCTGAACTTGGGCCAGATTCATGTACTTAACCTTTGACTGTCATCAAGCTTCAGATGGATCTTTCCCTTCGTAGGGCCTGCATGCATTCCAGAGTCTGTGTCCCTCCAGATGTTGCTGGACTACAGCTCCCATCACTCCTGACCACTGGCCATGCTGGTGGGGGCTGGTGAGGCTTTGGAGCCCATTGACAACTGGAGGGACCCCCACTCCTCTTCTGTGTTTTTCAGTCCTTTATGGGGAAGAGCCTTCTTGCAGCTTTGGGGTGGGGGGTGGGGATGGAATAAAGTAGCTTTTATCAATGACATGCTCTTTGTGCATCGCCTCATTGTCACAATGCCCTCTTTCTCTTTCTGCAGAGTCTCAGAACCTGCCAAAGCAGCCCCCACTGCTGCTTGCCCTGGGCCAGGCCTCGGAGTGCTTGCGGCTCATGGCCCGCGTGGGCTTGGGCTCCTGCTCTTTTGCCAGAGTGGATGACTATTTGCACTAGCCACTGAGTGAGACAGAGTGACCCCTCCAGTGCTGCCACCATCACTTCCCCCTGCCTCGCATTTTCCCACTGCCCCCAAGGGCAAGCTGCCCAGCAGAAGGACACATTGCTGACTGAGGGGGAATCCTTGTGATGCCTTCATTTCTCACCTTGGAAACTGCTGGCAGGGCCTTCCCCCTGTCGTCATCACCACCACAGCCTGCTCTGCCCTGCAGCCATTGCAGCACTCAGTATTTTCACTGGTCATTCTGATGTAGCGCCTTTCCTACTTTAGGATTTATTTTATTTTATTTTATTTTCTGACTGAGCCACCAGTATTTATATCTGGAGAGTTTGTGCTGAGCTGGTTTCTACTAATTTAGAGATAAAAGTGTATCTGTTGGTGATGGCCTGCTTTTATTTTCACGAGGGCAAACTGCTGGCACGCATGTCACCAGGGCAGTGTTGTTCTCTAGTGCTAGTCCCCTTAAAGGCAAGAGGCTTTGTGTTTTGACTGGAGACCAACCTGTGCCACCACATCTCTACTGCCTGAGCAGAAAGGCTCATTTGTCTCTTTTTTGCCATGTGATATTCAAGTTCAAGAACTGACAGGTGGCCATTGGAACTTCTATGGAGAAAAGCTGAGAATGAGAACGTAAGGTGTGCAATATTTTGGTCTCATCTTCTAGTGAAATGGCCTGATACTCTGAGACAGATGGAGATGGTCTTAATCAAGCATACCCCCCCCCACCCTAAACATGGTTGAGAGCAGGAACAATGTCTTGCCTAAACACATCCAACATTATAACACAGGCAGCTGAGATGATGACCTCCAGATGTTGGACTCCAGTTCTCATCAGCCCCAGCTAACATGATCAGTAGTCAGGGATTAGGGGATCTGTAGTCTTAATAACATCTGGAAAGAATCATCTTAACTACCCATGCATTGAGGAAGGGATCCTAGGCCCAATGCAGTTTGATTAGCACATTTAATCCAATATGGGCATTTAGGTGGCAGCTAGCATCAAACAAATGGGACTTATCCCATAGAGATGTTGAAGACAGAGTGACTTTACCTGTCTTTTAAATGAAATAGTGTCAGATGATGTGGAAACTGGGAGAGATGTGTCACTCTAGCCTTTTCTATTTGAGCTAGAGACTCTCCTAGGGGCTTTCACTTGGACTGCTGTCTGCTTTTTTATACAGTTGCACACCCCCTGTGTTTTGGGGTCATTCATAGTTGACAAGCTCCCAGTCCAGGTTTGGGGCTCAGGTAGATCAGATCACACCTCCCTCATTACCTGTGGATCTTTGTTCCACACTGAACTTGAAGTCCGTCAGATGCTTGAATGACAACTGATCAGCCACAAACGAAAATGTGAAATTGAGGACATAAGCCAATATTTAGTTTTTCCTTTTAAAAAAAGTGTACAGTTTTTATTCCAAGGAGTAGCCATTAAAAAAAAAAAAGGACAGACACTTCTAAACCAGGGTATTGCAGAAATCCTCACAAAATGTTGCTAGGCATAATGGGTGAAAAACTCAGGTGCCAGCCTAATTTATATGAGGGTGTATATATGTATATCAAGAGAGGCACACTACTAAAGGCAATTTTGTCAGATTATAGTATGGATTATGCAGCTTCAGAATTGTTGGCTAGCTGGCATATTTCAACATCTTGTCTAGCTTTTAGTATACATTTCTGATGGGAAAAGTGACTCCTATAAAATCAACAATCGAGACATTTAGCTCAAGTGGTTTTTCAGTATTGCAGAAGCTTACGGGGAATGTGCTAAATAAGAAGTGTGCCCCTTGAGGTGAAGAACAATGGTCACATTTAGAACAGGCATAGGCAAACTCTGGCCCTCCAGATGTTTGGGACTACAATTCCCATCATCCCTAGCTAACAGGACCAGGGATGATGGGAATTGTAGTCCCAAACATCTGGAGGGCTGGAGTTCGCCTATGCCTGCATTAGAAAGAAGCTGACAGTTTAGTTTGGGGCTTGCAGGTATAATGGTGAATAACACACGTGTGTGCAGTAGACTTGGAACATACAGAATGGGCATCACATTCAAGAATGTGACCTGTACCTGTAATGGGAATGATCCTGCACAGTGCTCATCAGTTGTAGACCACCTCTATTTTCATGTGTTTGTGTGTAAAGTAGTGGTGGTGGAAGTAAACACACTGTTTTCATCCCTTGTTCTGCTGGGCTGACTATTACTGAGAGACTACAGAAACACTTTAAAATTAAAGAGATGGCTGTGGAAGACACAGTTCCAAATTCAATCCCCCCTGTCCCTGCACTGATAGTGTTACATAACTGGCTATGATTGCTCTCTTGCACAGTTAGATCAAAGCAAAATATCATCTTAACTGCATTGAATAAAGGAAAACATTATCCTTTTTTGCCAGCTGCCATGATACTCAAATGTGTAGTGTTGTTTTAACAATTCTATCCAGCCTTAGATCTTTTTTAAAGAGTGCTCAGTGCTAGCTTACACATCAATAAGCAAATCCTGTTTAAAACACTGATTTTAAAATCCATCCCTAATTGTGTCTTGGTGTGAAAACTGACATCTTTATATCTCCAATCTCATTTTCTGCACCAGCAACCTATCAATTGGCTGCTATTGCTGTATGCAGCTCTTAGGATTTAATTTTTAAATTTTACCTATTTTGGACGAGTCTTTAACCAGCGATCTCCTGCCTCCATAACATTCCTTTTTACAGAGTTGCTTTGAATATTTTCTCAGAAACAAGTTACCCACACTTATGGTGGGTAACATGCTTTTGATCTAAAGCAATCTGCTTTGATAATGTATGAAAGCTTGAAATCCTGTAGACATTGGAAGTACTCTGTGTCACACTTGAAGAAGACTTTCAGTACCAGCCAGCTCAGCTCAAGAGTTTCCTTGTGGTACAACTGCTGTTTAGACCCAGAAACTCCTGGAGTGTGTAGCCAAAATGTGGCTGTTGGTATCAAAGCCTATAGCAATTATTCTTAAATTGACAATGTAAATGTTTAGAGGTTAAAATTAATTCAATCAAAAATACTATGGAACTTGTGAAACAAAATCTTCCCAGATGTGTTCATATTCATATTGATGAAATAGTATTCTCTTTTCACAGCAGCTAACTATGAATACTCCACTTTGGATACAAAATACTCATTTTTTTAGTAGGTGGTCATCAGAGCCATTATGATCAAGAGCAACAAGAAATAACATGCATAGGTGATATCTAGGCTATGGGGTAAAATTGCAGAATTTACAACAACCTCCCCTTCTAGGGCATTTGCCATATAGATTGAATAGAGATTGAAAGTCTCTAGTTGTGGTGTCTAGAATCCAACAGCGTCACTGCTGATTGCGCTTCAGTCTGGCAGTAAAATAGTCTCTCTACTCTACAGCTGTTTTAAACCATTCTTTGAAATACAAGGCTGAAGAATGCTGATCCATCACTTGATAAAAACACACTCTCTTGTTTATGTAGTCTCCCCATACTCTAGAAGCTCTTAACACTGTACAAATGAGAATTTCCACATATAAGGAATGTTATATCTGATCTCATATTAGGAGCAGGAGATATAAGACAAGTGGAGATATGGTTCTATAAAAGGAGGGTCACAGATTAGCCACCCCTGTCCTAGAATGTAGATGCAGTACACTCATCACTTCTTCACTCTGACCCCAAACAGTTCCTTTTGTGCAAAAGAAGAGTGATTTTGCTTTTAGATTAACATCTTATTTTTGGACAACCTATCTGCCTTGCAGGATGAGATTACCAGACCATAGACCTGAGCTAGAGCTTTGGTTCTGTAGGCCTTTTGTAACATGGCAGGTGGCACTAGAGGTTCAATAAGGTACATGTTTCTGATGCTTCCCTAAATTAATCATTTTAACCACAGGCGGGGTAGCATGCCTCCCAACAGTACCCAAACACCCATCCTTTCATCAAGCCCAAGCTGCTCTTACTCATCTTCCATATATACTTTGTAACTTACTTGAGGAATTCTTTGTTCTAAATCAGTGGCAGGTTTCAAGCACCGGGCTCACCAGTTGGTGATCTGTTGGCCAAAACTGGTCTCCTGGATGCTAGTTGCCAAACCTGTTCTTTAAATAAGGGGGGAAATGGAGCAAAAGGGGTGGTGTGGAAATTGTTGTTGACATGCCACTGGGCATTAGAGCCATGTGCACAACACTTCCTTTCAGGCAAAATTAGTTGCTGACTAGGACTCTCATACAACCAAGTAGCTTTTGTATGGTGGGGCCACACTGCTTGGGGAAGTACTCTGAAGCATACTGAAAAGAAAAGATTGACATTTACTACAAAGAAACATTATTTAAGGTTTTAAACTATGGGTTGGTGGTTGTTTTTTGCATTTTTAATTTTGGGGTGTCTGTGTTCTCATCTTAAATCGGCTGACAGCAACGTGAGGTGTGTGACTGGATTGCATCTTGGATGTCAAGCTAGGACAAAAACAAAACAAAACCCTACTCATTGAAGTGCTTATTTTAATTCAATTATTTCCCACCATACCCCTGCCTTTTCCAGTTGTTCAAAACTCAGGTACCAGCTCTAGCATGGAATGTCAGGACACTTTTTTTGTTAACTTTTTTATAGCACCATCAACTGTACAAAAAAAAAAAACCCCAATCACCAAATAAAACAGGCTGAGCAGAACCTCAGCTCCACCAGGTTTCCATCATCACTTGGGAGTTCTTTCTCTTCATTGAGGACATTGACTCAGTGGACATCCTACCAAGCTGTGCACATTGGTTCAGTCTCTGCTTAGTATTTGTGAGTTCAGTTATCCAACGCTAGCATGAAACCCTTCCGAGGGGAGGAAATTTTAACTGAAGAAAAATAATATGGGGGGGGGATGTACTGGAAATATGGTTTAAAAAAAAACCCACATTCTGTTGTATTTTGACAGAATTATTTTTATTAAAATATACATCCGTGTGCACCTGCCAGTGTCCTGTGTCACTCTCCTATGCTCCATTCTGGTACTGTTTGTGTATGTTGTCTGCTTGGGGAAGGGCCATAGCTCAGTGAAAGGGCACATGCTTTCTATGTACAGGTAGAAGGTCCCAGATGCAGTCTCCAGGTATCATTGCAAAGCACTCCTATTGGAAATTCTGGAGAGTCACAGCTGGTCAGCAGAGACAGTACTGATCTAGATGGTGAATCAGTTGTCTGACATGATACAATACAGCTTCCTTTATGTGTGTTTGCGCATGTGCACACATTTGCATTTGTGCCCATACTCTGTGCGCCACAACATTAGTTTGTACAATGATGTGCAGGACTGTAAATATTTAAAAGCACACTTCATTGTGTGCTTCCCCACATCTTAAATATTTACAGTAGGCCACTGTGATCTTGTATTTATCCAGCTATTACATCATTATGAAATTGGGCGAAGACAAGCTTTAGGTAGGCAATACCTACAAGAAGGAATAACATTTCATAGATTAGAGCAGGGGTTGCTCACAAGCACATACATGTTCATCCACAGAGGCTTTCCCTTATGCCCACAGGGTCCTCTTCCCCCTGCTGAAATTAGGCTTGAAAGAAGCATTGGGTTGTAGTTAATTACCTAGGTTGTGGTAAGTGCTTGTTTGCAGTGTGTGTGTGGTGCCCAATACACAGCTTCTCTCTATTTTCAAATGTGCCCACAGACCCAAAATGGTTGGCGATCCCTGGATTGGAAATGTAGGCTTTATCCAGGTAAGCTCATGCCATGAAGGATTCCCATTAGACAAAGGAAGATTAGAACTTGCCCACATTGACTATCAAGGGTCTTAAGTCTTTGGGTGACGTCTATTGCCAAATCAGGTGAATGTTAAATGTTTACCATAATTTTTAATGCCAAGAGCCAAGTTGACATTCACTGGTAAATCTCAAAGCCTCCGTACCTTCAATAAATATCTATAAGTCCTATTTTCATTTACTGTTGAAGAACACTCTGTGGCATATTTGCCTAAGTCACACAAAACTCCCATTGCTCTCAAGTGTCTGAGAACAAGCAGCAAAGAAGAATTTGTTCCACAGTGTCTTGAGTTTTCACTTGAATTTGCTGAAATTAAGAAGTCCCACCCATTTTAATAAGCAGGTTGTTAGTTTGGCAAAGGATGGCAAATGTGCTGTGTAAGAATTAGGGTCCATATCTTCTTACTATATAATTAAAATGTAAGACATCACACTGCTGTTTGCCTGGCTGCCGACAGCGCTCCAAATTACATTTATTAAAGAAAACTACTCTTCATCTATATAACCTTCATTGCTCAAAGGTCACAATGAAGTGGAGGGGACATAAAATAAACTTTTGAAAAGCATGAAGGTAGAACATATCTGTACAATACTAACAACTTGATGTGCTGATTATGTTACATATAAAAAGAAGTGAGAAGTTCCAGAGGCAGTAGAGCCGAATTGTTTCCTGTGGATGAGAACACATGAGGGACTTGAAATGCTGGCTTTAGGTATAAACAGTGCTTTTTTTCTGGGGGGATGCAGAGGTACGCATACCCCTAAACATTTTGTGAATCTTTCAATGTGGGTAGGAAAATGAGAGTACCCCTAAATATTTTTTTTGAAAAAAAGCACTGTGTATATATACGTATATGAACAAAACTGACACCTGCAAGGTAATAGGAGTCCCCAAGGCTGCATCTCTCAGTTCTAGTCATTTTTTGTGTAAAATATATCAGCTATATCTGTAAGACTGCCTTACAGGTGCAGCATTCTGCTGTGGTAAGTATATACAGTGGTACCTTGGGTTAAGAACTTAATTCGTTCCGGAGGTCCGTTCTTAACCTGAAACTGTTCTTAACCTGAAGCACCATTTTAGCCTCCCGCTACTGCCACGCTACCGGAGCACGATTTCTGTTCTCATTCTGAAGCAAAATTCTTAACCCGAGGTACTATTTCTGGGTTAGCGGAGTCTGTAACCTGAAGCGTATGTAACCCGAGGTACCACTGTACATTCTTTCAATTCAAGTTGGGTACATTACACCAGTACACTAAATAATATGGCTTTACCCTGATGCAGTTTAATTTCATAGCATATGCCAGTATTGCAGAAAATGAACAACCCCTCCCACAGCATTTGGCTCAATCTGGTTAATCTACATTTAAATTTAAACATAAAATTATTATCTTCTTTTTGAAACCACTCACCCCACATTCATCAATATACAAACACTATATTGTTTCATTGGTAACATAAGAGGTAAAATGACTTATTACTCATACTTATTCTAAGCACAACCCAAGGGCTCCTGATTAGGCATCTAGCTATGCAATCTTATCTGTTAATTCTGCTCTATCCTGTTTTCCCCTTTGTTTTTATTTACACCAACTCACGCACCATGAACTTTCAAGTTGACCACTAATAATGAACCACAGGTTGCAGATATTACTGCAAATTTACTGTGCTTTCTGTGATATACAGATGACATGAGGAGACCTGGTCTATTTATTTGTGTCATTTACTATTCCTTATTATTAAGGAAAAATAAAAATATATACCGTAGTTCACCTGGAAGTGCTCACACACTCTCAACAGACTTCTTACTTAGGAGTAGTTGTTCTCCCTCTCCTGCTGGGGTGTGGTAGCTGCCACCCTAACTAGTAGAGCAATTAGAGCATCTCCCTTATCTGTTTTCTAAATTTTCTAACATCATCATCATCATCATTTTTTATTTATACCATGCCCTCCCCAGCCAAGACCAGGCTCAGGGCGGCTAACACCGAATATAAATACAGTAAAAACATTAACAACAACAACAAAAAAACAAACAAACAGTTGATTAAAATATAAATTAGAATGCAACTTAAAATGCAGCCTTGTTTTAGTGGTAGCCTTGAAATCACCTGCCAGACCAGTTTAAATGACCTTTATTAGTAGTGTTCACTTACCTTATTCCAATCTTGTGGACTTAAAAAAACAACAACAACCTTATTAACACTATTAACAACCCATAAGTGCAGTAACAGGATGTTGCATCATACCATATATAAAGCAAACAAACAATAAATAGTAAGAGAAAGAAATGATGACACATCAATATAAATCAAGACATCCATATTTCACGAGCTAGTGTGGATGATAAATGTTGAGCATCTAAATCCAAAGCATAGGAAATAAAATCCCACCAGAAGCCATAAAATCCTCCTGGATCCTCCAACCCACTGGAAGCACAGAATTTATGTGCAATTTCCCCCCACAATGACTTCCGCAAGTTCTTACGCCACACAGCCAAATGCAGATCTTTCAAGGTTTTCCTTTGCTAGGCTATTGAAACCCTAGCTGCAGCTAACATGCATGTCAAAAGCTCTTTAGAGTGACAAGCTTTCATCTCGTAAGTGTTTGAAAATAGTATTTTCATTTTACAGATGTAAAGGAAGCTAAGGAGAAGGTACAAAAACATGTATGGGGATGTGGCCTGAACATAATTTCCCCCCTCATCTTCCTCTGAGCTGTGACCACCCTCAAACCGTTGTAAATCTGAATTGTCTTCTTCTCCTCTGGAAGTGTCAGGCTGGGGAGACGATCTCCACCATTTCTCCTTTGCCCAGTCCCTGACATTGGGTTAGTTTTTATATGCTGGTTAATAGTGACATGGTGTGCTTTTTTATCATTTTTTCACATTCTTTCACTAATGAACTTGGAGTACATAGTTATTTGCTTCACCCTGTTTTTTAAATCTTCATAACAATCTTTCATAGCAATTTTTCCTTTGCTAATGATGTTGTTAAAACACATAAGTGGCCAACGAGCTAGTCAGCAAATGAGGTGTTGCATCCAGCATAAGATTATCTGAAAATCAAAGGAGGTGCCTACTTCCCATAAAAGCATCACATGTGATGACCCGACATTCTTTGAAGCAAGCGTAACAAGCATGGAAGCCAAAGGCTGCAGCTCTAAGGGGATGGCGACAGATTTCCCTGTTCAGAGTGTTCTGGTGACAGGATCCAATTCGGGAATTGGCCTGGGTCTGGTGAAGCAGTTTCTGAGGCTGCCAACTCCACCTCAGTGGGTCTTTGCTACTACCCTAGACCTGGATGGACCAGAAAGCAAGGTGAGGACCAGGAATGTAGCATAAGAGAGTAGTGATGTTACTATGTTGTAAGAATGTAATGTAAGATTTGTGTGCTGAATGGGGTTGATGGGAGTTGTAGTCCGAAACATCTGGAGGGCACTCGGTTGGAGAGAATGCTATTGCACTCATGACCTGCTTGCAGGTTTCCCATTGCCATCTGGTTGTGAGATCAAGAGGCAGGACTGAGTGGGCCTTTGGTCTGAAAGTCCTTACCTTTGGTTTTTTTCTTTAAAAAGTAAGGTTTTGGTTTAAGCTTAACTATAGATGCTAAACTACCGTATTTTTTGCACCATAACACTCACTTTTTTCCTCCTAAAAAGTAAGGGGAAATGTCTGTGCGTGTTATGGAGGGAATGCCTACGGGTGGCATGCCTACGGATTTTCCTCCTCTAAAAACTATGTGCGTGTTATGGTCGAGTGCGTGTTATAGAGCGAAAAATACGGTAATTGTTTTCAGGTTTTTGTAACTGCCAGTGCTCCACAACTGCACCATGAGCCCTGTGTGGAAGAAAGGCCAACCCAAATGTGCCCCTTTGTCTGCCCTCCCTTCCAGTTATCCTTTCTCTGCCAGAAATAGATCAGTGTCTATTTCTACCAGGCTGCCTAACACTCCCTTGTGCCTCCTCAATAACATTTCTTTGTAGTGTAGGCTGGGTATAATCATAGAGACCTGAAGGTATGGTTACCAGACGTCCCCATTTCCTGGGGACAGTCCACTACTGAAGAACACAGGTAGGAGAGCACCAGGAGGGCAAGGACACGTGGCCAAGCCCAGGCCTGACCCAAGCCTACTCCACAGTGGCTAGCGCTCCAAGAGAGCAGGCACAGAGGAAGGCCGCACGACAGAGGAGACCACAGAAGAGATTTTTTATATATATTTTTTTTTAAAAAAATAACTTTCACCCCCTCTTTTCAAAAAAAAAAGTTTCCCCAGATTCTTTGAAGAAAATCTGGTAACCTTACCTTAAGGACTTGTGAGCCAGGATTAAGGTTTTAATAAAATGATTAAAAAGTATTTCTTAGGGAAAAGGTTTTATCTTATGAATGGTTACATTCAAACAAAGCGATCCCCAAAGGAGCTAATAGAGAAATTAAAATAAGACCAATGCATCCTACGATCCTTTAAATAAACAATGTCCTAACAGCTGAAGTCTTACACTGGAATTTATGTTGATCCTCCACAGTTTCCCTTCAATACATTCCCCTGTGGGCAACTTTCTGGGGGCTGTGGGGGGGGGGTCAGAAGCAAAAGTGGGCCAGTCAACAGATATGGCTGCTGCCCTTGTATAATAGGCTACGTGCCACTGATGCAAAAGTCTACATACATCTCTCTCCATCCTCCATCAGAACAAGTAAAAGGCACTGTGACAGTACAAGGGCATATTTCAGTCAGGCAAAAGCATTGAGGAGGGTGTAAAGCAATGCCAGTGAGGGGTATGACCTGGTGAGAAAGAGGCTGTGGTCTCGGGAGAGTTACGAAGCCTGCATAGAGGGAGCCCGCCTAGGAGGGAGGAGGAGAATGAGGACTTTCAGACTCCTTACCACTTTTCCTTGCCCCAGGTTTTCTGTCCATCTCTGATGGTGTGCTCACCCTATTAATATTGGAGAGGAGGATGTTATCCTGGCAAGGGTTTGCTCTGAGTGAGATTCCTAAGTGTCTGTTACTCTGCTAAGCATTTTCAGGAACCAGCTCTAAGGCTCTGGGTCTCTCTTGCTGCCTAGTTCCAGTTTAATCAAGGAGGTAAAACATTTCTTTTTTGACAGGAAATAAAGGAGTTGGCATGCCAGCATCAGAATCTGGTGGTGCTGCAGCTGGGTAAGTCTCACGTTCCAAGTGTGGGATGAATAGACATTCCCAGCACCAGTGGAAACCAGTACAGTCCACAAAGCAGTAACTGGAAAACAAGATGACTTGCTCCCCTGTTACAGAATATCAGTGATAAGTACTTTTGATTCTTCCCACAACTTCACTGAAGCTTTGAAATGAGATGCACCTATATGTAGTCTCTATCCATATCATCACATAATAGATGTGTGGGGAAGGTTTGGCCCACCATATGTTGCAGAACTACAACTCCCATTATCCTTGGCCATTGACCATGTTTTCTGGGACTGATGAGAGTTGTAGTTCAGCAACAATTGAAGAGCCATAAAGGAACTTTCCAAAATGGCTTACAAAGGCATGGGCTAACGCTGTCTCTTATGGGTACTCTACTTTTCTGTGTCTGTGAATTCATATAGAAGCAATATGACACAGAAAGACAAGGCTTCCAGAACAGGTACCACAACCCCTTGTATGTTACCATAGTTCACAGAATAAAGTTCAGGCACCTCTCCACTGATGCACAACCACTGATGTACACATCATTTTTGGCACCTCAAGGGGCAGGGAGGGGGCAGAACAGGGCAGAAGGGGGGCAGAATAGGTCAGAGACAGAACAGGGTAGACTTGCACAAGTGCTGCTGCAAAACCCATACATACGTGGGGATTCCCCTATACATTGGTACCTCGGGTTACATACGCTTCAGGTTACATATGCTTCAGGTTACAGACTCCACTAACCCAGAAATATTACCTCAGGTTAAGAACTTTGCTTCAGGATGAGCGCAGAAATCATGCCTGTGGCGCAGCAGCAGCGGGAGGCCCCGTTAGCTAAAGTGGTACCTCAGGTTAAGAACAGTTTCAGTTTAAAAATGGGCCTCTGGAACGAATTAAGTACTTAACCTGAGGTACTACTGTACTTGGGACTCACAGTGGCCTTGTTTAGGGCTCAGCTTTACCTTCTATGTGTCTAATTGTCCCAAATATTTCATAAAAAGTAAAGAATAAAATGTTGGAAGTGAAACTGCAGGGATCATTCAGTGTGCTTCATAAAAGTTAATTATGTTAGTATAAGGTTACCAGATTTTTTAAAATGAATCCACGGACACTTTTCAACTTCAATAGGAATGATAGGATTTTGTCAGGGGACTGATTGTAAATCCAGGGACTGTCCCCGGAAACAGGGACGTGTGGTAACCTTATGTTAGTGTTGAAGTCAATTAGTTATGAATCAGCTGGGTGGAGGTGTTGATTAGGAAGCATGCAAAGCAGCCTAAGCAGTTTTCTTCTATAGGTACCTTTGGCTGAATCTCTTCTTGCTACAGTATATGCAAGGCCTGAACTGAGAGAGACAAAATTTCCCCACAGCTTTCTCCCTAAATTACACACAGTAAAGTGTTGCCAAACTTTTCTCTCTGAATTCCACCTACATTAAGTACTTTGGCCTTACAAATGCCTTGCTTTGAGCTCATTTTCTGACAGAGTGATATGAATGTGGTGCAAACATTTTTAAAAACCAGGCCCTCACTGTGCTCCCTGTAAAAACACACACACCTCCATGATTCAGAGAAGCACTTGTTCTTCCACCTCAAGTGGGCTGTGGTAGCTGCTACGCTAACAAAAAGAGCTGACAGGCCAAGGTGACAAATACGTGGACTGAAAAGCACCTCTCAAACTTGTAATCTGTAAGATCCCCCCAAGCCACCTGCCTTGGCAGTTTTAAAAGGGCCTTTTTATTAGTCCCTTGGGCATCCCCACACCACCCAGTTCTTAAGGGCAAAGAAATCTCATTCTGCAGATGTCACTGACCTCCAGAGCATCAAGGCAGCTGTGGAGCAAGTGCAAAGGAGTGTTGGAGAATGTGGGTTGAACCTCCTGATGAACAATGCTGGTATTACTACTGGAAACGACCTGGAGAAAGAAAATGCAAAGGACATGGCAGATGTATATGCTGTCAATACTATTGGGCCACTTCAGGTGAGCCAGGTAAGTTTTTGCTTTTCATGGGGCTGCAAGACCCTTTACCTATTGCCCTGGTACAAACTGTGATGTTCTGGCCCTTTGGGAGAATTAAACAAAAGCAACAGACTGGGTAGGAGAAAAGCAGTATTTGTTTGAACAATTAATTTTCATGAGGATTTTAAGAAAATAATTGCAAACTGATATGGAAATTCAGAGAATTGAACTTAAGATAGGAAAAATGATAATCCAACATTGATAGATCCACCAGTCACTGAACATCAGTCTGGCATAAAAATAGGAATGCTTTCTACCTTTCCTTCCCCAGACGTTTAATGGGGCTGCTCTCATGAACATGCAGACAATTTTTTTTAATAGAATGGATCAATATGGCTACTTTCTGGAAAACAGATGACATTAATGCCTTTCCTATCTTAGTGTGCTGTGCACACACATAGTAAAAGAGAGAGATTGCAGAAGTTGTGGGAGAAGGACAACTTTAAAATGCCAAGAAGCGAACTAGAAGGAAGAAACATGGGTGAGACCTTAGAATAGAGCAGCTTCAGGTCCTGTTGGGGGCTGCATAAAATGAGGCCAGGGCACAGGTTGCCCAGCTGTGTGTTCAAACAATTCTAAATGTATGCTAAGTCTTATGGGATCCTTGTGCAAAAGCTTACAGAAAGTATTTTTGGATCAGAAATCCTAATTCTGCTACAAGCATTGTTCATGTATACCTTCAACTTTATACAGTGCATCCAGTGCTTTCCTCTGGTATCACTGCCCTAGGATAGCTGCATTCATTGACTTAACAACAGCCATGATCTCTATTCTCTTTTAGGCATTTCTGCCCCTGCTGAAGATGGCAGCTCAGAGATATCCCCAGGAAGGGCTGACCTGCTGCAAGGCAGCCATTATCAATACATCCAGTGCTGCAGGCTCCATAGAACTTATTCTGGCATGGGAAAGAAAGATGGCTGTTGCCTATCGCTGCAGTAAGGTACCTTATGTGAAATCCATGCGAAACTGTCTGCAGCCTCCCCTGCCCTGCTGCGACTATCTTTCCAAATGATAGCTGTATGTGTGAATCTGGGCAATAAGAGCGTATTGCCCACAGATAAATGTTGAGAGACAAATTTTTGTTGTGAGGATGTTGCATTTTCTAAAACTTTGGGTGGCATTAAGGGAAGATACCAGGATGTTTTCTACAAATAAACAGCCTGTCTACAGTCCTTTTCTTCTTGCAGAACTTAGAACAAACATCTAAAGCTAGTTATCAGTTAGCAAACTGATGCAGCCCACAAGCATGGGGAACACTCACAAATGCCTGTCAAAAATCTTGTTCAAGAGTGGTGTCCATGATAGATAACTTCCAAGTTGCTAGTTTTTGTGTCAGGAATGCTCAATGATGTCCAGTTTCTCTTACAACCCTCTCTGCCTCCAAATCCTTTCTAGCCACCTTGCAGCAATTCATATTAAGCAGCTCCCCACAGTTCAATGCACCCTCTGCTCATGGTTTGTTTTTTCTCCCTTGTAGGCTGCTTTAAACATGCTCACCAAATGCCAGTCACTCACATATCCAGCTTATGGGATTCTGTGTGTTTGCATCCATCCTGGCTGGGTAAAAACTCAAGGCAGGCAAGTAAGTGCTCACATCTTTTGGTAATCATGGAAAAGGTGGACAGCCCTATAGGATGATATTTCTTTTAACAGATTGCTTGACATTTTTAGTTGGATGGTGGTGCCTGAGTAGCTCCAGTGCCCCATCCTTCACTGCTTGGAGGTATTAAAAGCACAAGAAAAGGGCAATGAAGGCAGCATCTATGAGTTGGTGTTTCTAATAATATCCAGAATTGCTCCTGGAAAAGCAAGCATAGTCCTCTGAGGCCTTACAGTGAACTGCTATCCTTTGGCATGCATGGCCACTTGGTTGTCTTTCATAAAGCAATGTTTAATGTTTAAGACTGAAATCTTATAACCAAGACATCCAACAGCATCTAGGCCTTCTGCTATTTGATGCTCAAGAATGACTTTTTCCGAACTTAATAAATCCTTCACTTACAATATTTTTCTTCACAGGAGGCGGACCTGACTGTAGAAGAGAGTACACGAGGAATAATTCATGTTCTCTCCACACTTTCTGAGGTGGATAACGGTACCTTTGTAGACTGGGAAGGACGCAGAGTACCCTGGTGAGGGATTTGTTTCACGATGCCAGGGGGTTTAACACACTAGGATTCTGCCTAGAGAGCATCTAATAAACTGCCTGGGATTCAAGGAAAAATGTTTTTGACTCTCTTCTTCCTTCAGAAGGTTCCATTGAAGACTAGTTTTCACGCAGAATTGTTTTTAAGGACTAGCCATGGATTGAAAGATCTTTCAGTCTGAGGGTCACATTCCCTCAGGAGCACCCTTATGGGGGCTGGATGCCAATGCCAGGTGGGTGTGGGTGGCACTGGTGAGACAAAGGCAAAAGTGGGCAGGGCAAGGTTGTGAATATTACCTTCCATGGAACAGGATGGGGAAGTTGTGTCCTCTGGGTGTTGTTGGACTGCGTCTCCCATCAGCCCAAGCCAGCATGGCCAATGGTCAGAATGATGAAAACTGTGGTTCAACAAGATCTGGAGGGCCACAGATTCCCCATCTCTGGTAAAGAAGGCTACATACAAAGGCCAGAGGTATTTAGTGCGTGCAACTCGCTGTTGTAGGAGCAGGGGGGTTGGTTTGGATTATGTGTTTAGGTCCCCTCCAAAGCCTGTGGTTCTTTATCTGGACGATGGGAGCCTGTAGTAGGAGCTGAAGTGCCTGAACCAGTTTCTTTGTAAAAGATCAACCTGACCCTGCTCAGCGTCCTTTTATATGCCTAAAGACTTGAGCAAGTATGGGCGTGTTGTCATAGAAAAAGGAGCTAGTGCTGTCTCTACAAGGAAGGGTAGCCAGATCTCACACACGTGGCTGAACTCATCATCCTGGAGGCAAGAGAACAGTAGGTCAGAGGCTGGCCTTTGTCTTGTCTGCAGCTGGGAAGACACAGAGGCTTGACTTCCTCTCAGAGCTGAAACCAAACCTTTGGGGGATCTCCCTAGGGACCTGATGGAGGAGCAAGATCTGATGTAGCAGTGATGCTGTAAGCCCTTCATCTTGTGCTCTGGTTGTGTTTATTTTGCATACCCTCCAACATTTATCTGATGAAAATAGAGACATCCTATTCCATACTACTACTATTAATTAGTTATACCCTGCCCATCTGACCTGGTTGCTCCAGCCACTCTGGGCAGCTTCCAACATATATAAAAAAATAATAAAACATTAAACATTAAAAAAATACTTCCCTACACAGGGCTGTCTTCTAGTTGTTGTCTTCTAAAGGTTGTACTGTATAGTTACCTATCTCCTTGGCTCGGGGGTTGCATAATTCCATACTCTCCCAGCATTTCTCTGATGAAAATAGGGATAGCCTAAGCAAAGGAGGGGCATTCTGGTCCAGGATCAAATCAGAAACAACAATGGCTTCTGTAAATCTGGGACTGTCTCTGGAAAATAGGGACTCTCAGCGGGTTTGTATGTGTAAATAAAACCATTGTCAAAAAGATACCACATTCTTCAGTGATAGTATTCCAAAGAAACTGAGCCCAAGGGAAGCAATAGCACCCATGACCCAGGTGTGCCGGGTTCCCTTTGGGCCCAGTGTAGGGTCCATTGGAGCCTGCCCATGACCCCACAAGGATGGCGCACCTGCCATGAAGTCTCTCACTGGTCTGAGATTGGGATTCACGTAACACACACTTCCTCTGTCCAAGCAAGGGGGACCTATCATCACTGCTCAAGGACATGTTGCAGCCACGCAAAAGCTCTTGAGGAGGTTGTGAAGAAGAGTTAGAGACGGGTGTGGTCAGAGAGAGTATTGAGGGCCTCTTCTGCCCAGCGGTGCCCGTGCTGCCCTGGGTGGGTGCATGGGGTGTGCCCGAGGAGGGCGGAGCGTGAAGGGTGCCTTCGAAGGGAAGGGAGCCAGTGTGGTACAGTGGTTAAGAGCGGTAGACTCGTAATCCGGGGAACCGGGTTTGTGTCTCCACTCCTCCACATGCAGCTGCTGGGTGACCTTGGGCTAGTCACACTTCTCTGTAGTCTCTCAGCCCCACTCACCTCACAGAGTGTTTGTTGTGGGGGAGGAAGGGAAAGGAGAATGTTAGCCGCTGTGAGACTCCTTTGGGTAGTGATAAAGCGGAATATCAAATCCAAACTCCTCTTCTTCTTCTCACGTGCCACAGTTCGGGGTAGGAGAGGGGCAGGGAAGCTGCTGTTCACGCTCCCCCTGCTCTCCGCTACCAGGTCAGACATGACCCGGTGACAGAGCTACTGCAGCTGGGCGCAAGGCGCCACGTCAAGGAGGCTGGGTGGCAGCATTGCCGCTGACCCTCCTGCTATCTGCTACTGGGTCAAATCTGACCTGGCAATGGAGCTGCTGCAGCCAAGTGCACCTTGCCACAGCTGAGGGGCTGCTCTCTACTGCTGGGTCAGGAGAGCTGCTAGACGTGCAGCAGTGAGGAAGGTGAGCAGCAGTGCCCCCTGATTCAGGGTGGAGCTGCGCCAGGCACAAGTGCTACAGCCAAGCCACAGCATCTTTGGCATGGAGCCAGGCTCTGATGAAGGAGTCTGCTGTGGGGGCGCCTGTTTGCCCCCAGCCATGTTTTTAAAACTCACATTTTTGCCATTTTGTTACCTCCCCCTCGGTGATGACACACGAGGTGGCCCACACCCACCACACCCACCTTCCCTATGCCACTGCTTATGCCATTCCTCCTCTGGTTAGTTTTTACATCCTGGTTATTATATTCCCAAGTGACACGGTATGCTTTTTTAGTACTTTTTCACTAATGAACTCAGGATACATGGTGATTTGCTTCACCCCGTTTTTAAATTTTCATAACAACCCTGCAAAGCCAAACAGGCTGAGAGATTGACTGAAGATTTTAATTTGGAACTCTCTGTCCTCTATACCATAATGCCATAATACTTCTTCATTTTTCCATTGCTAATGAGGTTGTTGTTGTTAAAAAAGAGAGATGACCAACGAGCTAGTCAGCAAATGAGGTGTAGCATCCAGCATAAGATTATCTGAAGATTAAAGGAGGTGCCTACTTCCCATAAAAGCATCTCATGTGATGACCCGACATTCTTTGAAGCAAGCGTAACAAGCATGGAAGCCAAAGGCTGCAGCTCTAAGGGGATGGCAACAGATTTCCCTGTTCAAAGTGTTCTGGTGACAGGATCCAATTCGGGAATTGGCCTGGGTCTGGTGAAGCAGTTTCTGAGGCTGCCAACTCCACCTCAGTGGGTCTTTGCTACTACCTTAGACCTGGATGGACCAAAAAGCAAGGTGAGGACCAGGAATGTAGCATAAGAGAGTAGTGATGTTACTATGTTGTAAGAATGTAATGTCAGCTTTGTGTGCCTGATGGGGTGCCTGATGTAGTCCGAAACATCTGGAGGGCGCCCGGTTGGAGAGAATGCTGTTGGGCCTTTGGTTTCACCAGTGGCTGCCCTGCTCTGGTGTGACTGTTTTCAGTGGCTCATCTGAGTTGCCCACTGCCTGCCTTGTCTGCTGCTCTCAACACTTCTGTGATGGGCCAGCAGTTCTCACAAGGCTGCCAAAAAGCTGTAGGTCACAGTGCTGTCTCTTAGCGCAGTGTTTCCCAACCGGTGTTCCACGGCACACTAGTGTGCCGCGAGACGTTACCTGGTGTGCCGTGGGAGGGAGGCGGCGCTTTCTCGTTCGCGCCCTGCAGCGAGAAGGGCAGCACAGCGCCGCAGAAGAGGCCCAGGAGGCAGCAGGCGCCCAGCGCGCGCCCGAGTCCCGCCCAGCTCGCCATGTCCGCCCGCAGCATTGGCGACCCGAGCCAGGCTCCGCGCGCGACGCCCGTCTTATGGCGCGCGCCTCTGCCGAACGCTCAGCCCCGGCGCGAGCGGCTTAGCAACGCCGTCCAATCAGGGTGCATCTCGGCTGGGCGGCCGCGGCATTCTGGGAAATGTAGTCCTCGGGCAGCAGCGGCATTCTGAGAAGGCGCGCTTCTTCGCCGCTGCGCCTTTTCTTCCTCATTCCTTCTTTGCTGGCAACGCAAAAAGAGGCGGAGGAGGAAGAGCTGCTGGAAATGCCTGCGTGGGCATCGGTGCGCGCAGCGCAGGAGATTTAGGCCGGGTGGGGTTGTTAGAGTCAAGATTTTATTTTGTTTATGTCCATCTTGCTGTTCGTGATACTAAACTACTCTTTATAGATCTCGTTATAACTTGTGTGGGGATTGCTTAATTTCGTTGTGGGCGCTTTGATACGGTTTCTTATGAGTGCATTTGGGTAATTATGTAAATATTGCCATGTCGTAAGCCGCCTCGAGCATGGTTTTTAACTATGGAAACAGCATGCAAATGACGATGATATCTAGGGAGGTTTCAAAGGCTTTGTAAGCAGAGTGAAGGAAAGAAATCCAGATGTGATTGTTACGCATTGTTTTTTGCACCGTGAGGCCCTCGTAGCCAAGACTTTACCAGCAGACCTAGTTCATGTGTTGGATGATGTTGTGCGCATGGTAAACAGGCCCAGGTTGCGCACTGAATAAAGTATTTTATAATTTTTCATATTTCTGTTTACTTACTATTTCATAATAAAGTAATTATAAAATACTATCTTTGTGTTTATTTGATTCCTATTAAAGAGAGTTACTTTATATATAGTCAATATAGGCACAGAGTTAATTTTTTAAACATTTTCTAATGGTGGTGTGCCTCGAGATTTTTTTCATGAAACAAGTGTGCCTTTGCCCAAAAAAGGTTGGGAAACACTGTCTTAGCGGTCAGTTGAGCTGCGATATAATAGTCTTCGAAAATTACAGCATAGATTAATGGGGAGGGACATAAAAGAAGATCTCTATCACTCTAATTCCACCTGTAGACTGGTTTGTCCAGCAATTATCATTTTGCTGAATTAAGTTTCAACACCTTTTTAAGCCTTTTACCAGCAGAGGAGAGTATTGGCTGTCAGGAAATAAATTAATCCCTTAAACCCCAAGTCAACTCCATGCAGGATTTTTATCTCTTTTAACAGTCTAGTTCCTTCAAAGTACTGTAACTTTGTAATAATGCCAGAAATAGATCAGTGTCTATTTCTACCAGGCTGCCTTACACTCCCTTGTGCCTCCTCAATAACATTTCTCTGTAGAGA